TCATTTATTAGTGTATTTAACTTCGTATTAATGTGTCAGTCTACCTACCAGGCTAAATCTTACACCTTTGTTGCACCTGAATGAAATCTCAGTCTATGTGCTTAATTATTTATTTATCTTTCTACCGTATGCATCACACTAGCGGCCGTGTTAACCCAACTACACTGTCTCTGTATACGGGTAGTGAGTGTGCTGTCAGTACTACACTGCACTGCCTAAGACATCCACTCTATCAGTGTATTACGGTATACCTGTACTCCACATCGCTTTCTATGGAATGATATGTCAATTTTTTTTATTTTTTTATTTTTTTCACAATCGTCCTTCTAAGTCGCTAATTGTGGCGTGGTGACAAATTTTGAATCTTCAAAGTTTAAATGGATCCAACATTACGTGGCTGACGAGTTTGCCGCAGATATTTTTTGCCAGCAAAGTTTAACAGTTAAACTTTCAGTGATGAAGTTGAACGTCCTACTTTTCAAAGAGAAAGTGCATTAGAATGTTTAATTCTGATATCCAGGATAAAGAATTATAACGCTGTTCTTCTGGAGGAATTTTGTTTTATAATATGGTACTTGGGCAGGGTTGTGAAGTAGAAGGAAAATGTTGGATAAAATACTAAAAAAAAAACACCAAACAAACCTTTGAAAACCTGACCTAACTTGACCTAACCTTTCCCAACTTGTAAAAATGTTAAGAATCACTTTTGAGTTTATGGATCTCTCTTCATCTGAACACCGAAAAAATACCATCACCTACTAACCACCGAAAACATGAATAAGATAAACTTTTTAAACTTTTTATAGTTAGGTTAGGTTTTCAAAAGTTTGTATATTGTTTGTTTTTATAGTATTTTACCCCACATTTTCCCTCTAATTCAAAGCCCTGACCACTTTGAACAATTAATATTGCTGGTAATTATATCGGTTAAAATACTCCAAAAATATACATAAACGACATTTGTAATTCTTGGCTATCTCAAACATGTTTCTAAAATCAACATAAAAATACAATATTGTGATAGAATTTTCATAATATCCTGGCGTACTGGATAATATAATCACAGTAGCAATGAGATACAATGAGTTTTAACCACATAAGTACCTCATAAGTTACTTAGTTACTTTTGTCGCTATAATTACAATCAAATTATGTCCAAATGATATTGATTTATGGTAAAGTACTCTGTTACAACGTGTGTCCATATATAATAACAGAGAGAACACATAGATTATATACAAAATGTTATTGTCCGGGACTGGTGTTAATTTTCCTGAACATTATTTGGGTAATTATTTGGATTCTGATCGGCCACTGTTTTACAATGAAAATGGTTTTAAAAATACTATGTTTTCACTGATTTTTTTTAAGGATACTGTATTATGTTTGGAAAATATATAAAAATGGCAGAAATCATGTGCTTACCAAACTTAACCTAACCTAACCTAACCTATATCTTCACTCGCCTATATCTAGAAAACTAAGCATTTACCAAAGAAAATGATTAGAAGTGAAAGTAATTAGCATACAAATCTATATCTAAAAACACCCCCCCCCCCATAATTACCGAAGCGTTAACGATCACGAGTTGTATATTAGCCATTATTTGGAAGTACATCTCCTCGCGAGGTTTTGTGTTCTTTTAACCCCACATTTCACCTCACACACACACACACACACACACACACACACACACACACGCACACACGCACACGCACACACGCACACACGCACACACACACACACACACAGGAATACGAGATTCACTAAAGCTTTGTCTTTTTTCAAAGTTACTTTTTAGTGTTAGCATTCCAATCCGTATGATTGAATCTACCAAACAGTGAATGTTTCAAGCAGTTTCTGAGAGGAGGGCAAAAAATGATGGCAAAAACGCCAGTTACTGTAGAGCAAATCTTTATTCTTGTATTTTCCTTTAAACATTCAGAGTTTCTCTCAGTAGTCCTCCTAAATCTATTGAGTGAGAAAACCTAAGTAAAGTTGCAGGATTTTTCTCTTTCCATCAAACACATCAAAGTTACTTTCAATACATTTTTGTTTCTTAATATCTTACAGTAAGTTCATTCATTACTGCTTCCTCTTCTACAATCAGTTTTCCTCGCTTCGAATCATATATGTAAGTCACGTATTTCCGGTCAGCACAACCAACTGATGAACTATGCATCTTGTTTGTGTTGACGTTAAGGAACTTACCATCAGATTTGATGTGATCCTTGACAGTCCTTTGTGCCACAAATAACTCCTCTGTGAGAGTTCTCATCTGTCTTCATAGGGAAGACACGTCCATCACCAACCTGGCCGTATGAAAGTAGGAATAACATTTCAACATCACCCCACAACTGTCCGTAGGGAGATGTGTTTGCCATGTGTTCATATAAGATGAGTAAATTATAGCATAAAAGAATCACCCGGCTTAAAACCACTGACCTGTAAGTGACTGGCAGCAACATCTTCCTCTGTTGATACTATGAACTCTTAAAATGTCATCACAATCCATTAATTTCTTTAATGCTAAAAGACAGTTTAATGCATTGTTGTGTTTAGGTATACATCACACCCAAGCTATTGTCATTCTTAGATCAAAGTGAACCACATTGTGCTTCATCACCTCATCAGGATAGACTATAAATTACCACCAACGTGATACAAATGTTTTCCAATTCGTTTAACCAGTGACTTTAGCAGTTAAAGAGGCCCTTGATTATTACAGTATCCAATAACCATATTTACCAACTGTCTTGTATTTCATCGTCTTTTTTCGTCGCTAATTTTAAATTTGATCGTTTGACTGGCGGTCTGTTGTACGTAGCTTTTGTCTCACACACACACACACACACACACACACACACACACACACACATGGTTCAACTATATTCACATTAACGCAAATTAATTCTTTTCAGTGTTCCATTACGCTTTATAACCACACATGAATATTTCCTGGCGTAAAATGAATGTTGAATGTTGAATGTTGAATGTTGAATTTTGAATGTTTGTTAGTAACCCTCTATGGCTCTCGTTTTATTTTATTTTATTTTATTTTTGTATTATTATTATTATTTTTTAGCTGTTACCCTATACTGCCAGTTAGGAGTAATTCATTCTTTTAGTTCAATGGTTAAACTCACTTGTTCTACTAAACGATAATATCATGAAAAAAATCTCGTATTTCCTTTCAGTTTAATGTATTTCAAAAGGAACAAACATCACATTTTGGTATTTTTTCCTAGTTATCCCCCCCCGTAAAAAAAAATTATATACTTTTATATTTTCGTCATGATTATAAAAGTTTGGTAATACTGCTAATGTTTTTCATGGCAGCTTCTCGACATACTAGACGACACTAACTCATCAAATAGCAACAGAAAACCACTGCTAGTCTGCTAGTTATAATATCCTCATAATCTCGGACGTATCTTCAACAACCAACTAGTACTACACAGATGATGAATGTGGGAGAGAGAGAGAGAGAGAGAGAGAGAGAGAGAGAGAGAGAGAGAGAGATGGAAAGAACGATACAAAGCAGACTGAGATTGAAACCCCTACCCCCTCCCCCCGTAAGATATACCTTCTCTATGTGGGGGAGGGGGGCGGGTTAGAGACAAGTGGGGGGAACACACACACACACACGTGACCAGGTGAGAAGCACAACACAACAACGACAAACACATTCCACAACACTGTCCAATACATCGATCAAGAAGAAGGCAACACAACCATCCATTACAGGTCTCCCCACTCAGCTCTCTCTCTCTCTCTCTCTCTCTCTCTCTCTCTCTCTCTCTCTCTCTCTCCTCAGCCAATACTTACTTCCTGTATTTGTAATTTAACTTAACATAAACCAGAAAGATTCAGTAATAATTTGTAAGATATCGAGGAAGTTTTGTTATCATTCTAATAATTAATTTGTGTACTTTAACAACTAATTAAATACGTGCATTAACCGAGTCACTTCACTAGGTAATGAAATAAGGAACGGTATAGGCATAAAGTTTCTTCACTACAGGTGTAAGTTAGAGTGATGACAAGACGCAATATGAGTTAATTATATTTCATTGCCTCTTTAACAAGTCTCTATTAAGGACGATGGTGCAGTGCAAATATATATACATAAGTGATGTATTGAGTTACTGTTACTTTATATCAACTATATCTACACATACCGTCCAACTTTTCTTGTCGAAAGTTAACAGTGATGTAATCTTAAAAGTCTATTATTATCAATGAAATCTGGTAAAATAACGTATGTCGAAAAAGTATATTGTATAAGTAAATTTCTGTGCATAAAAATAATATAAAACTTCAGAAGGCATTATTACTTATATTACCATTACTTAAATTAATATCTTCACTTACATCATTATCGTTACTTACAGGACTGTCATTAATTACTTACATTATTAGTACTGCTTTCATTTATAACATTACTTACAATACTGTTCTAACTCTCATTACTTATACCAATACTTACATTACCAACACTAATATTATTACTTACAATAATAATACTTAAATTACTGTCGTTTCTTACATTAGTGTCATTACTTAGAATACTGTCGTTACTTACAGTACTAAAACTAAATAGCATATGTCCATTTCTATCATTAATTACACACGAAATCTTGAGTTATGTGGAAAATCTCAAAGTACATTATCATGGTCTAGGATTAGGCTGAATATTTCCAAGTGTTATTAAACAAAATCCTTTATTATATCCTATGCAATTTATTTTTAATGTTACTTAAGATTTCATTTGAGTTTCCATATTAACCATTTTTATTTAACCCAAAACTATGCAATTATTAGATTTGTCCATAAGCCTCGTAATATTATTAACTGTAGCTGTGTATTATTATTATTATTATTATTATTATTATTATTATTATTATTATTATTATTATTATTTTCAAACTATGCATAGTATTATTTACCAGTATGTTGGGGTATAACTAACAGCTGTCTCTCTCTCTCTCATCCAACAGTTCAACTTCGTGGGCAAGCTGCTAGGTCCCAAAGGGAACTCCATGAAGCGCCTGCAGGAGGAAACCCTTACCAAGATGGCGGTACTCGGCCGAGGCTCCATGAGGGACAAGCAGAAGGTCAGATGAAGACAAGGGTGATTGGTTATGGGAAATACGGCTGATGGGTTAGGGGGGGGGGGGCAAGGGTGATGAGGAATGCGGGTGATGGGGTGAAGGGTTATTAGGGGACACGGGTGAGGGGGAACACGATACAGGTGCTTGGGTGACGGGGAGTAGGAGTGATGGGAAAGAAGGAATGAGTGGGATTGTAATAGGCGGGGGTAAGGGGATGGGGAATTTAGTGATGGGAAACACGGAAGTCTGGAAGGAGCGGCGAAGGGTGTTGAGGGGCGATGAGGGAGATAGGAAGGCTTGGTGTGCTGTGGCTTTGGCTGTGTGTGTGTGTGTGTGTGTGTGTGGGTGGTAGCCAGAAGAAGAGTGAAGGAAGATCACGGAATAAGGAAGGAAAGGCGTGGTGCGAGAGGAAGATTAAGACGAGAGAAGTTGAGAAAAGGGGAATACGGGAGAGAAGTTGGAGGAAAAGTGATAAATGGAAGCGGGAAGAAGAGGATACGCCTCATACGTAAATATTAAGTCTGACTGAGAATATATATAGTAGCGAAAATAATTCAGTAAAGTGTGAAAAATAAACGTCTTCCATTACGGTTATTACTCAAAACCAAATTCTCAAATATTCGTAAGTTATATCTTCCCTTGTTAAGAACAACGTAACATCTTTAGGTAAACAGCAGAGTCAAAGTGTAATTTCGTCATCATTTAGGCCGCTGTCTTTGTGCTGTAGCTCAAGGGATCCAATTAGATGCGTTCTCACATCTCCACTTAGGGGGAAGATTTAATGTATGAACCATAGAGAATTCAGGGCTCTCCCGAGTGCAGCCTCTCGCTCGCTAAACGGACGAAAACAAACAATGCACCAGCCCTTCCATCATGCTCCCCTGCTATATCTCCTACGGCTCAGACCTGAGTAATCATTGCCCTCCATCAGGCTGTGAATGAAATAGAGGCCTCGTTTCCTCCCCGTTTACAACCTATTGCAAGTTCCGCCTTGCCGTGCATCATCGCAAATTTGCCTCTGGCAACGCTCCTCTTGCCGCCTCTTTGCTAATGGAGTAATACGTTGCCCGCCCGTGTGAGATGACCGGAAACAGTTCCTCGTGATCGACTGTTGCCATCACTCTTGGCCGTTCAACTGTTCGTCTTATCCATGGTCCCATGAACTTATAGGTCACACGGAATTGACGTCGTAGTCACTTTCATTCGGTCCAAACGATAGATTAAACCATAATTCAATTTTGTGGGACGAGAGAATTGATGAGGCAGTGTTGGTCAGTTTGTTACACTGAAACTGACTTGAGGATTAACGGATTACGTGTAGTGTCTTGGAGCACCTGCCACCCATCAGTTGTTTATGGGCTAAGTAATGTTGTAGAAAGTCAGAGATTCATAGCACTTACAGTCTATACACATTTACTCCGTGCCCAATTACTGTTCATTTTCTTGCTCAAGAAAATGTTATATCCGTTGTATCTAAACTCGACTACCCTAAATATAGCTTCTCGGAGCAGAGTTTATTTACATAATGTTAATAAATCACACATGTTCTAAAAGCAGATATGCTAAATACAGCAAGTGATTCTAAACACATTTTTATATCCAAATATTGACATACCAAACACAGCCACTCAAAACACAGCCACTGTAAACACAACCAATCCAAACACCACTTGGTAATTTTGAAGTTTACTTTCACGGCCTCAGTATTTTGTTATATGTAACTGCAGAAACAGGTGGCGGACATTAGAAAAAATAATATAAAATTACTTTGAATCACGTCATACACTCGTGAGAATAGCAGCGTGGAGCCGTTTTTTGACATTTGGCGCGCTGTGACACTACGGCATTAAATCATTCATGAAGGCTGACATGAGCCAAACTAAACTAATCTAATCGAACGTCAGATCTTAGATAATCTTTTGCGCGGGAGATGCCCGTACTGGAGCGACACTTGAGTAATCAACACACAACATTCATACACAATATTAATAAAGTGTAGTTGAGCGAACCTTCTGCCTGGCAATAACTAATAAAATAAAGTTTAGTTTTCATAGAGTCACGCCCCATGACTGACCTGAAGTGCACCGAGGCTCATGATTGGTCAATGTGACAAGTGACAGGAGCTTCACATTTTCTAGCTTAATACATTAGGTCACTTGCAGTTTATGGACAGTTTCCTGACCTTTCCATCCAAGACAGGTAACATGGAAGGCAACCACACGTCAAACCCAAGCCAGGTCATCATTAGACTAAACCACAAACCTACTGACCTCTATACTATATTTTTTTTATATCCTAACTAACCGGATCTGGGCCGGGTTCACTACTATTCGGTTAAATTAGGTTAGTTTGGTTCATGTCAGCCTTCGTGAATGGTTTAGTTGCTGTAGTTACACAGGCAATCAATACGCTGGACTCTTTGTCGTATGAAAATTTGACACATGGGTTAAGTTCAGCCTAGTCTTTCTTTTCATTCTTTCTTATACCCGCCACTTGATACAGCGATGGAAGTTAGTGTGGGAAAGTAAACTTGAAAATTACCCACAAGTACTTCTTATATAGCTTCTCCAGAGTTAATTTTAAGAACAGCTATTTTTCAACACAGTTACTCCAAACACAACAGTCAAAAGTTACTCCAAGCTAAGCACCTATAACACTCCTCTTACTTGACACAAACTGCTTTACGTTAGTCATTTTTCTCTTTACAGATCTATGGTAGAGTAGTTTTAAGCATTATTACTCTGACTACTACGACTCTCTACGAGGCTGCTTTAAAACAGACGAAACAACAGACGAAGAACAAATCCGTTACTCTTAAACACTACGACTCTTCATTCTTACTCTAAACACAAAGCCACTTTACAGAAAATAGAGTTACTCTTAAAATCCTCACTCTACGTGTTCTAATAGTAAGAATATTGGCGCCTCTTACTTTAGACAGAACTGTACCTTAGTACTCATCCTCTCACCCCGTTACTCTAAGCCTTACTCTCGGTACAACAGTCACTGTAGCTAACTCAAACACCCAGCCCCCGTGTGTGTGTGTGTGTGTGTGTGTGTGTGTGTGTGTGTGTGTGTGTGTGTGTGTGTGTGTGTGTGTGTGTGTGTGTGTATATGTGTATGAAACGTGTTGATTTACATACTGTTGTCCCGAATAATAACATTGCTATTCAGAAACAATATAGTTTAAGTTTTGGTCGTCTACTCGCCTCTCCGAACAATAAACACTAAAAAAATAATAAACCTTAATATACTTGTATCTATTTCTACAATTTCAACTGAACATCGGAAAAAAAATCTTAGGTAACTAATGAATTACGTGTATATAAAACATTATATAGTAGTGATTTTGTTTATATATACTAATACGAGACATGATTTATAATACGTATTAGTTAAAGTTTGACAATGAAGTTATTATCCATTACTACAATGAATTAAATATTGTTACCCTCACCGTAAACTGAAAATATAATTGATAACACTTGTGAAAAATATAATGAATAAATTATTCTTAACTTTACAAATTATTTCATCTTATTTTTCTTCTAAACATAATTTCATAAGTTCAAATTAGAAGGTTTCATCTTTTAGCACCACTCCAATTGATTAACTAGACATATATTGTTATCTAGTTATTGCTATCTAATATATCAAGAATTACAATATAACATAATATACTTTTCTCAAATATAACATCATCCCTTTCTAAAGCATGACAGTACAGTATCCCTTTTTTTAAATATAGTATAATGTCCATTTTTACAATATAACATAGTATCCCTTTCAAAAATATGATACCGTATCTTTTCATTTTATAAATCCTTCTACAGGTTGACAACATTGTATACAAAAACTTTCTTTGTAAAACCTACGTGTCAAGTGCCGTAGGAACAATCCAATCGATGTAATATTTATATATTTGAATCTATTATGTAATGAGTTCTGTATGTTAGAGTCTTTGCAAAGGTTCGTGTACATTAATAAACAAATTACGGGTCGAATCAACAAGCCAACAAAACTATTCAAACGAATACAAGTTTTAACTTTGTTGTCTTTTAGTTCGAGAAGTTTCGAATATAGTATCTTGCTGAAATGCTACTATCGCCTCTTCAAAATACTTGCTATAAATCACAAGTCTTTGTAATAATTATTATACAATAGAATTCTCTTACCGTTTCATCTTAATTAGAAAACACTAGAATCCTAACACGGAAACGAATATATTAGAATCAATACTCTTTTAGTCATAAGGACTTTCACTACAGTTGCCAATACAATTTAAAATACACATTGTAGAATCTTGGTAATGACTCATACATATGTATTGTGATCAGAGTCCTTTCATAGTAGAGTTCTTAAAGGATATCACAATATATATTAGCATCACTGAATTGAGATCCATGTTCTTAAGGGCTCTTCAAAACAGCTTCTTGACAACAATAGCAGAGTGATTACTTCCCCTTACCCTGCGTTTCCTCAGTAAACCCCCAGACAACTCCCTCCCTTGTGTTAACGCTGCCAAGTTCTTGTGTTTGATGAGGGCAACACGCTATTAGGGTCAACTACACAGTCTCTGAGTTTAATTACCACGAGCAGGACGGAAGGGTGATGGTGATGGTGATGGTGAATTGTTGATGATGGTAGAGAAGGCAAGGGGTGATGGTGATGATGGAACAGAAGTAAGTGGTGTTGATGACTGGTAGATGAGTGGTGATGGTGGTCAAGTGATGATGATGATGATGGATTAAGGGTGGACGAGTGGTGATGATGATAGTGGTGGATGAGTGGAGGTGGTGGTGATGGTAGACAAGTTAATGGTGAGCGTGGCAGAGAGCAAGCTTACTGTTGACACCAAGAAGGATATTTACTATCTACTATTACTCAAAGCTTACTCCGACGAAAACGAATTATGGGGGGTTAGGTTAGGTTAGGTTTTGGAGAGACTCAAACTTCTAGGGCTGGTCAATTTTTTTATTGGCATTTTTCTAAATATTATGTTTATATTAGTTTTATATATATATACGGAATGCAATAATTCAAATATTGGGTTTATATTTTTTAACTTGGTAAACTGACCTAAATACTTGACAGTTTACACACACAACGCTGGTAAGACGCCCAACAAACTGACACACAACTATAAACCCCACGTGTTACAGCGGCTGGGGAAGTTGGCCTGTGTGTATAATATATTTCTTCAGCATCTTTTTTTTTAACCAATAACTTTTACTTTACAAAGTAAAATGGGGAATCGTATACATACGAAAAAGGCCAATGAGAGAGGTTTGCTCGATCATATTGCAGTTATTTCTCCGAATTCGGTATTATATGAACCAAACCTTTAAAATAACTAGACCCATGTGTGCGCTCTTGCTGTAAAGAGAGCGGCCGTGCTGCCATCAAGCGGCGGTGTATAGAACTAAGTGCTGCCATCTCTCGGTAGTAGAGAGAAATAGTGTAGCCATCTCCCGGCAATGTAGAGAAGTAAAGACTGCAATTTCCCGGTATTATGGAAAAGTAAGTGCAGCTTGCATTGATGGTAAAGTTCGTCGGAAAAGCGATTACAATATAATTTTCCTCTTTATGGTTAGCAAAGATAAATATAATCTTGTAGCACCGTGTTACTTTTTCCCCTTTGGCAAGATCTTAACCCTAACTCATGTACACATAATTATAATCCACATTGGGTTACTTTTTTCACATTGTTTCAAGATTAATATTGTAGCAGGGTATCTGGTGCTTTATACCTCTCAACATTCACACTGATGTTTATGTTACTTATGTCTCTGATATATATCTACTCACCTTACCCAAGTCTTAATGTACTCATCTATTTTACCTACCATCTCTTAGCGAATGTATCAAGGTCCTCCATCCATTTTATGTCACATTAATCTATTTCCATTTAAAATTATAACCCCATTCATCAACCTTTTGGCTCATAATGTTCTACAATTACCTAATTATCTCACGGCAGAAAAACCTGGGTCACAACACCAGGTACCTTCATTCATTCTCCTGAAGTGGGGTCCTTAACATCCCCGGCCTGACATTATCCAACGCTTCAGCAGAATCATTCATCTATTGTTCCGATACTTGGTTCATTCTTAATTTTCTTTACGTAACACTACAGCCGCTGCTTCTTTTAATCCTCGCTCATAATATTCATCGAGCGGTGACGTTACGTATATATAAGCCTGCATATGTTCGCTAAGGTTTGTCAGTATTTGGTTGGTTGATAATTATATTTGTTTACTTATTTCTGGTCAGGAGGAAACAGGGAGAGACATGCGAGTAGTAACAAACTACAGTACATAAATTGAATTTGTATGTACTTCGTTTTGCACTTTACTCTCACGGAACTACTGTACATAATATTTATAGACAATATTTTACATTATACCACTGCATCATAACCTTTGATACCATCTCAGTAAAAATCGACATTCCATCAGATTACTTTGACAGCCTTTCAGATATTACACCGACAGATCACCAAAATACAGTCAACCGTAGGTATGAATATGGGTGTCTTACGAGTATTCGAACCCATAAAGCTCTCAAACAGTGTTCTAGCAGTACGGCATTACGTTTTCGATAATGTTACTGTGTATATATTATAATATTATCAGTGTTATTAATATTTGCCCTATTGACTCACACATTTTAATAAAATGTCTGCACAGACACACTTTGTCTGTTATGAAGCGTGTCTCGAGTATTGTTTCAATGGTATTCCTTTTTATGAACTGATTCGAATGATACTTAATTGTTTTTAGTTTATTCTGAAAAGTAGTGAGAGTAAAGTGCAAAAAGGGGTAGTACAGTTTAAGTTATGGGACGACGTATTTACAAAAAAGGTTTTATGTTAATAAACAGTATAATATACATACAGTTTTAACTATACTTAAACGATTATGAAAACTGATATATAGTATGGAGATGACCAGCCTCCTCGATAAACTTAAAACTCTATCCTCTGGGAATATGACATCTCTGCTCCGAGAACCAACGACGGGCTGTAGTAACCATTCCCTCTCAGAGTCCTGGAGAGATGCCGCCGAGTTGAATACATGACCTGCAAGTGTTTTATAGTCAAGGGGGCCAGGCAGTCATCGCATACTGGCTGGGGCTCTCAAGCCAACAGATGGCAACAACGCACAGTCACCTTCTCTCCAGGGTGTTGTGTATTACTTCTTACCTCTACGATTACGACAGATGTTTATCAGAACCATCACTCAGTGACTACGCCGGAAACGTAATAGAATTTTTTTTTTGCTATGTTTCCCTATATAAAAAGAATTATGAAATTCCATATTGGACCTAAAACAAATCTTTACCGGGTAGGAGAGCACCCCTGGCAAGGCAGGTCCCGGCTCTAAGTGACGGAACATGCTTGGACAGCCGCACCACAACTCTGATCAGAAACTGTGAACTACCTCAAGATTCGTGAAGCAAATTGCATTGTAAAACACTAGTGTGGTAGAATGACATGGATATCCGAACAACACGTTACGTTCTTTGCAGCGTTTCTTAAACCATTTCAGTGTCATTCACCTTCGACTTTGTCACATTGTTCAGAAGGACAACAAAGAAATTACTTCAGTATTTTCCTTTTTTCCTCCTGAACAAAACTGAAAAACAAATTCAAACATCACACCTCAGTTAATATTTTTAAACCAAAATAATTTCCTGTTTCCATTTTTGTGTGTTAACGAACTCACGTGAACAAAGCAAAAAAAAATTGAATGACAATCATCACACACCAGATAACATGCCAATTGGCAATTGCTCAGTGACAAAAGCTACATACGATGAATGTTGAAATGTTCGACCGAGAGAGACGATGAAATACAGAACAGTTGATCAATATGGTCACTGAATACTATAGATCATCAAGAACCTTCAGCGTTGTAAGTCACTGCTGCAAAGAACTCTGGCTTTAGACGATGAATTCCATTTGAAATTTCTCCGCCTGGCAAAAGGAATTGGATAACGTTTGGATCACGTTGGTGTCAATTCGTAATAGTATGTCCTGATGAGGCAATGCAGTCCACTTAATAGCTCTAAATATGAGAACAAGATAAAACTAACATCACGGCGAAGATAAATTTTAATAGTTCATAACTTGATGGCAAGTTTTAAATTTAAAGTTACTAAGTTACTAAGGACTCGTGACAAAAGGCTTAAACTATATATCGATTTTCTGTCTTTTATGCTATAATGTTACTGCATTATATACATGACCCACCATGACCCCCGGACAACTGCTCTGAGGTTGACCAGTACGCTCGTATTTATATTAGTCTCAACTTAATTGTATGTTACAAAATCACTTTTGAGTTTTTCAATGATCTTTGTGATAACATTTACTTATTATGACCTGAATGTCTATAAATGATTGGGAGCGTCTGCGAGGAAATTATTACTAACAGTATGAATCTTTTGTAAAGTTGAGGAAAGAAACTATCTAGATTTTTTAACGTTTGGTCCGTATATTCGCTTCCTTGGTTTCTGTAATTCTTGAAAGACCCAACCCTAACAAGGTTCACGAAATCAATTGCATAAATACATTAACTGTGCGGCAAATATTGAACCTTGGACCCCTAAAGGTAAAATAATACTTGTATTATGATAAATCTTCCTTAGTCGTAACAGATGGCATAAAATAGTAAGGTGTTATCCCCTCTGCTATCAACTTTTACTTTCCCTCACAGGAAGAAGAACTCCGAGCCTCAGGAGACCCCAAATACGTCCACCTCCTTGAGGATCTTCACGTGGAAATCACCGCCTTCGCCTCACCTGCGGAAGCCCACGCACGGATCGCCTACGCTTTGGCCGAGGTCCGCCGTTATCTCGTTCCAGACAACAACGACGACATCCGGAAGGAGCAGATACGAGAAATGGAGTTGATCAGTGACCCACAGGCAGCCGGAGGGGCCACACCAGCTTCGGAAGGGGGCGGGGGCGGTGCTGGAGAACGTCCGCCACCCTCCTTGACGCCTCCAGGTGAGTTTTAGAAAAATATGATAAAAATACTCGTGGTATACGACCGGAACTCTATTCACCAAGTGTCAAGGAACAGCAACCTCTTCTTCCCACGTTAACGTTATGTATTACAGAATTGCCCTTCAACACCAAAGGTCTTTAAGCATATTTTACGTAGGTACATACAATAGCCATCAACATTTAAAAAGGAAGATAAACACCTCCCTGGTTGTCACACTTCCACCTTGACATTCCGTCTGTCGAGAATGGGAGGGATGCGTTTTTTTGTGATATCGTCCTTGCCTCAGGAGTCTTTACGTTTCATCGGGGTAAACTTCAATATATCCTAACACGGTGATGATAACTATCATAATCATACACAGGAAGTTACTAACTGGCAGATCAATTGATGTAAATAACCTTGAATAAAGTCAGATTTTGCTCAGGTTTGTGACAGTCAATAACAACTTTGAACATCAGATTATTAAGCCGTGAAATACTATGATGTTTATACTACACGGTATTACTGCAAAACAAAATCTACCTATGCCCAAAAATTTCTTAATAGTTTACCTTCAATTGTTCCACACCGATACAATTTTGGTCATGCTGTATGAAACAAGGTCGAAAAGCCTTAATAATTCTTGAACTTTGCTCTTTGGGTAAAACAAGTGGAGGTTACATTTCAGAATGCGATTGAACCTGTTGAACACTGACAACCGTTCTTAGATCGTGAGCCTGAGGTAAAATGTGTTATACTTCATCGGGCACACACACACACACACACACACACACACACAGTTATTTTTATTCTCTTCTGTAGAATCTACGGTTCGGATATTTAAAGTGTTCGTCTTTAATGTGAACGGATAAAAACAAGTCAGATAAATTTTGCGTATACTGACACTACACGAGCATTAAACCCTGAGTATATAACGTCCATCCTTGTTGCCTTTGATCACTGAGTGTAGACATTTTGTCTAACTAGACCTGACACAATTGAGAACACAACGAAAGTGGGAAAATTAAGAGAGGGGAGACAGTACATGGTTGGCGATGTTACCCCTTTTAATTTTCCCGTTTTCGGTCAGGTTCTTACGAGTGTGTCAGTTCTGGCTACACACTGATAGAAACCAACGAGGAAGGAAGTTAGTTGTAATTTGTTCTCAGGAAGTTTTGTTGTCTTATTATTTTCCTATTTCTCATTGTATAGCTATATAAAACATTATTTAACCTGTCTTGTGCGTTACTTCCATTTTTCGCTGAAGAATTGTACTGAAAATACCAGAAATAATTTAAATTCTAAGGACATAAACCAATCTGTTTTCGTTAACCTAGCTCTACTCTTCCTCTTATACACTGTATATGTATGATACAGGTGCTCATGTACTGGTATTTATCATTCAGCAGCTAGTAGCTTACCTCACCCCCAAGGCATAGGATGTTCGCTCACTATAACCTTGTACCATTGTTCCACCATCGACCAGCGCACCCGGTAGTGTACTCATTTATTGTTGAGTCTACAAGGGTTAGTGTACAAGAGGGGGAGCACATCCTCCACTCAAATAGAGAATGAACGACATGCCCATTCGCTTGCGTGGTGAACTGTCTATCCCCTTAGTGCACTATCGACTAATAGTTGTGAAACGCGGAGATTAAATGCAAAAATGATATAGAAACTGTATATTAAATAATAAAACATGTAAATTATGCTTAGAAGAAAATTTAAGTAAAGGCTCAAACTACAAACTACAGTAAGGCACAATAGCAAAGACTGGGTGGATTATTAAAGGCAGGACACATCAACAGTGAACAAGGAAGTCCTCAATTCGATGTCATTAAATAGAAAAATAACAAGAAACACACTATTACTAGCAGGATCTGTTCAGTGGTGTAGGAAGAGATCAGTACATGGCGATAGAATTATATTATTATTTATAGTTTATTAAAATGGTACAGTCTGGCCACTATAGATAATTCACATTTTTATTTTTCGATTACAAAAGTTTTTCATGCAACTGTTTTCTCTAGAACATATAATCTTTTTACATCTTCGTAGTAATATCATAAAATTTCATCGTGACTCAAGGCTCCACCGACTGTGTCAAGGTTTTAAAAGTGATAAGACTGCGAACACCTGCTAAAATTTCATGACCTGAAAGAGAGAACGCCTCGGTACCTGTTGCCTCCATTTCAACAAGCAAATTCAGTTTTATGCCACAGATTTACTTATTCCTGCCAATTCTATGTCGCCTAAAGCAAAAGGCGGGAATCCGATTGAGTTACCGGACGTGCATGAATGAATATGGTGGCGGAGTGTTGAAGGAGCACTCACCATGATGGGCAGCTTGCCGGCCTGGACCACTGCTCAGCACCACTACCTCCCCGGCGGCGTAATGCTCTCAAGGTTTTAAGGATTCTTTTATGCTGCATTGCAGGCGATTGATCGTTGTTTTATGATCAATGTTGTGGGCAGATAAAATAGAATAGGACGAACAAAGAGAGAGAATGAGAGGAAGAGAGACAGGGGGAAAGACAGGGCGAAAGTTTACTCAATCTTTATAACTAAACTGAAACAGACCGCTCGGGACCTATAGCCTAACATTAGCACATAGTGAAGAATCTCTTCTCTTATATCCACAAACAACTGTCACAGAGTATTATAGTAAATGTCTTGGTTCTTAAAGTCTTAAAGCCGTCACGAGGACATAGGAATGTCTTTAAATTTCGTCTTTACAAGGTTAATTAGAATTAACATAAGATATATATTCGCAGTCACAGTAAATATCGTGAAAGTTTACAAGACTGACAAAGTTTTTTGCCAGTACGAGAATTATATAGCCCAGGATATACTTCTGCATTGTTGGTATATTACAGTAGTGCATTTTTATGGCGCTCTTTTGCCAGCACTGTAGCCTCGTAGACTTACATGTCACACCTAGAATCATAGACCGATTATTTACTGTTTACATCCCCTTCTCTTCTTCCTCCTCTTCATATTTCCCTTTCGTTGTGTGGTTTACGTCACACTCTGCCCGCTTCATAATGCTCCTCCATCTTGGCTGCTCATCCCCCGCTGTTATCCATCCTGCACTAACCTCAGAGGCAGAGTGTCAGCACAGGCGATAGTCACTCAGAGGGCAGCGTGTCAGACGGGGGTGAAGGGACAATTGTAAGTAGATTGTATGAATATTGACAGAGGCAAGAGGGTCGCGGACTAAGCTTTGTTAACCCTTGACAATATCTCTTTAAGGCCTCCCCCCTAGCAGGACCGCCCAGCCTCTGACAACACCACCACCATTAACATCTCCCGTATCCTGCGTCAGCTAACTGTGATATATTGATAAAATATTATATTCTTTATGCATAAAGTCCAAAAATTATTAAAATTTCAGGATTCAAATTTCGCTTTCATATCCATTTTAATTTACGATATGCAACAAAAAAAATTGTAATATCAGTCATTTTTATAGGAAATGTGAATTGCAGAGAGAACTCAGGCATATTTCGTATTACATCACGTCCACAAAGGCGCCTTTCTATTTTGTCTGGGCAACAGGAATGGCTGGTACTGGTTTTGAATTCCGACTAATAACTTTTGTTACTTTTTATTAAATTCGGTCCAAGGTTTCATTCACGTGATCATAGCGGGACTAGAACGCGTTCACTCAGAGAAGCAAACAGATATTTTTTACACACACAAGCATTTCCACACACACGTTTTTCTTACGGGATTAGCCCACCATAGCTAAAAAAATGCATACTAATTAATAAAAAATATAAAAATATAAATACAAATATAATATATTTTAATAATAATAATAATAATAATAATAATAATAATAATAATAATAATAATAATAATATTACTATTATTATTATTATTATTATTATTATTATTATTATTATTATTATTATTATTATTATTATTATTATTATTATTATTATTAAGGGCCATAAAAAAAAAAAAAAAAAAAAAGGATCAATATTGAGAAACGATATATGTATGTTGTGTTGCCATAGTAAGAGAAACAATTGAGACCCTGCAATTGTGTGTAAATGAGGCAGAAAGTCAGATTAGCAACCTGGGACTTGGTCACAATTTTTGTGAGACCATATAGCAGCAGTCTACCATTAGACAACACATTATGCTTCCAATATCTTCCCAGGGTAGTACCTCCCTATTTGATAGCTGCCTACTACCTACTACTGTACCTACAGCACATGCACAAATACTCCACACACACACGCGCTCATTACCATACAAACCTCTCGTTCATGCCAAGAAGTGGATCAAGCGGAAAAACACAGTTATAAAAGGAAGTTTCATTTATAATTTACTTTGTCGAGTACTCATAGCGTGAGGCGGAGTGTGTTGGTGGTGAGGGTTAAGTATTGCCTTGCTGTCGACTCACCTATCAGGTAGTCTGTGATGGTGAGGCGAACCTTTGTTGTTGTACTATACTGCTCATTACCTTGTGATTACTGTTGTTATTTTTCACTAAAATAATTATAGAATCTTTTTGTCTGTGTCTCCATTGTTTCCCGTACTATTGTTGTCTGTGTTCACTTGTCTCTCTTGTCTGTATCTACGTATTTATCAATATCTCTTTTTCTCGACTGTCCGCCGTTCTCATTATTCTTCTTTCCACAGAGCTGTTGTCCCCAGATGGTCCAGATTGCCGGGGCACCGTCGTGGGGCCAGCACCCCCTGGTCCACCACTGCCTCTAGGTCTCCGTGGACGTGCTCCTCCTCATCCACGCCTTCTGCCCGCTCATGCCGCCCGTGGCCTGCCGCCCCTGGTGAGAAAGCTGCCAGCTGCCCTACCACCCCCAGTTCCGCCTCCACCCGCCAAGCGCCGCGTGCTTTCCATCTTGGACAAAGCCAAGCTGGCCCTCGACCACAGCTACGGCCTCCACGACGACGACCACCGCCACTACTCCTTCGACACCCCAGAGTGAGTCCCCAGGAGAACCTCTCTCCATTATTCCTTAATTTTTCAGGTTCTTGAAAGGTTCATACTAAGGTTTTCGACAAAATAATTCTAAGTTTTGAACAGGTTCAATACAAGGTCAGTTACATCAAGGGAAACAAGGTCCTCGACATTAGTCAGGACAAGGTCTTCAACAGGTTGTGACAACATCCCCGACAGGTTAATTTCTCGCCTACGACAAATTAATCCCAGGTCTCTGACAGGTGATCATCACGTTTGCGACAACTCCAGAGAGAGAAGTGCGTGTGTGTGTGTGTGTGTGTGTGTGTGTGTGTGTGTGTGTGTGTGTGTGTGTGTGTGTGTGTGTGTGTGTGTGTGTATGAGAGAGAGAGAGAGAGAGAGAGAGAGAGAGAGAGAGAGAGAGAGAGGAAATTGAAGAGCATCGAATAATTTCCTTTTCACGAAACATGTAAAGCACCAATTAGACCTCCAACATGCTACCTCCACCTTACCCCCCCCCTTCTCAAGCCCTTTTCTCACCCCACCCCTTTAGCCTCTCCCCATTATTCACCCTACCCCATCAACCCTCTACCTCTCACCTCCTCCACCGTTTCCCTACACAAGAGCCTGAGTCAGGTCCTCCTCTCCACTACATAATAAACGGAACATCGCACCAATCAATTATCACACTGACTCAGTAACCAACTGCTCTTAATCTAGTTTAGTCGATATTCTGAGTCGTGTCTCCTCTCGCTTTTCACTTTTACCCTTCACTTATTCTCTTATTATTTCTTGTATCATCCTTACTTTTCACCTCCTCATTGTTTCTCATCTTATTTGTCATATTTCTAACTTTCTCCTCATTATCTCTCATCTCCCTATTACTCGTCCCTATATTTCTCATCGACTTACCATTTATATCCTAAATTCTAATCCATTAACCCCCTTTTAATTTGTCTTCCCTTACTTCCATAACCCTGGCGTCTAAATACGTTATAGTAATTAACAGCGTCCCTACTGCACCACCTCCTCTCTCTGAAGCGTCGCCAGTGACTATCTGTTTCAACTTTGATGTCGTCTCTCGATACACAATACACCATCACACCTCACTGAGACGCACCTTCCCTTCGCCTTAACAACTGATGTCAACTTGCCTTATATACGTACACAGGCTCAGACCTCCTTCCAAGTTCTTTATAATTAATTGTTTAGGCAGTTCCAAATTATCCCTTTTCCATTATTTTAAATCGTTTATATTTTCTCAAAGTGTGTATGCCTTCTCCTACCCCCACCTCCACTCCTTCGAAAACAAGGAAAATAATTACAGTTGTATTTTTTTTTTCTATTTGAGATTATCTATATCTTATATGTCACAATCGCGTTCCATCTGTGGGCTGCAACATTCCTTCCAGTAAACTTCATGCAACCTACAGTGTTGTTAGTCCTTTGTACAGCTAAGTTAACTATCTTGTCGGCGTTGGCGAAGCTATTAGTTTTCCCTCCACCATTCCACCCAGTCACCTTGCATAGTTAATATTCGGAAGGTAGTCTAATTAAACAAGAAATTATCACAAGGAGAAACACGCTAACCATATCTCCCCCTGGAGTCACTTCGGCGGGGTAATGAAGCCGCTATACCACATGTGGGGGTAGATCAGACTCACAATAAATCTTTAGTTTACGAGAATATTGGTTCATGTGGAGGACTTCCAGGCCTCGTATACTGATCTCAGGGTTAGACCGACGCCGCTATAATTCTTAACTTTCCTGAGTGTCATCGTAAAGGTAATATAGTGAAGTGTATGATTCATTCTGTATTGGATATCTACTAATAATAAAAGTATTAAGAACTAAAAACGTAATCAACCGTAAATTTAATCAAGAACTGGGAGATGGAATTAACGCAAAAAATATAATGGATAAGGAGTGTGTGTGTGTGTGTGTGTGTGTGTGTGTGTGTGTGTGTGTGTGTGTGTGTGTGTGTATGTGTGTGTGTGTGTGTGTGTGTGTGTGTCATCGCCTTAGCTCCAAAACCATGAAACTTAAAGAACTGAAACTTTGCCTGCATACTAGGGGAACCCATGGGTGAGCAGCTCGGTGTTACTGTTTAGATTTGGCTCCCCCAAAAAAGTATATGGGGAGGGGGAGGAGAGACTTGCTGAAGCCATAGAGTACCATAATATTTCCTTCACCGTCAACACCCCAGACTGGTAGAGGGTAGGAAGACGCCAACCTAACAATGATAGTGAGAAAGATGGAGTTGATAATAATGTTGTTAATGTATGTAGATGATAGTTTAGTGAATTTAGTGTAGATAATACTGTAGTTGATATAGTGTATATGCTAATGTAGATGATTTGGTGTAAGATCTTCAATATTCTGGTAAATAGTTAAAAGCATATCAATCATCTTTGCTTCAAGTAGCTATTTTCCCGAGCTAACTGCATCGCAATAATCGTTAGTTTGTTGCGATAACGATACCGCTCTTGGCCTGAGAATTATTGGCTGTCATGCATGATAAATCGCTGCATTAGATTCTGTCTGATAAATGATTAATGACGCACAAAGCTGAATTTACCTCTTTTACATATAGATGAGCAGCTCTACAGACTGTCGTGGAGTAGGGAGAAGAGAGAACAGTAAATCGAGTGATGGTTTGTGATTTACGTACTGTATATACCGAGGTACTGTAGAAGGAAGCACGGTATTTGCCTCATCCGAACACTGGGTAAAACTGGACACTTAAAGAGCATTAATTTTGGCTACTTGATCATGGTTAATCGACCTTTATTCTCCTGGTGTTGCTCTTAAACTTGGAACAATATATTAAATCGTTGTTTTGTTGGGGGTAAATCTCAGGTCAACATGTCTAAAAGATACATGGTCAGGTGTTAGAGCTTAATGTCCCCTGACTAAAATACTTACACTGACATAATCTGATGGATGTAGAACAACAGAGGTCATTAAAACTTGATAGATTAATTAAGAAAAAAATGTTGGAAGTAAAGAAAATTATGATTTTCTTCATAGCTCGTGTGTAATATCAATTTACATTGTCTTGTGAATATACTGGTGTGATAATAAAGAACAAATAATAATAACACCCCTTACCCTCAACAGTATACTATGGATCGAAATAAGCGTGTTACTATCATACAAAAGTTATACATAATTAATGAAATACTGGACATTATGTATTCAGCTTTCATTAGTCATATAAAAAGCATTTTGTGTAAAATATTAGCACTCATTAATTTCGTGTAATTCATTGACGTACTCTGTTGCGCTGCAATCAAAGGTAACAGCATTATACCTGACAAATTTTCTTCCATAGTACTGTGTGTGTGTGTGTGTGTGTGTGTGTGTGTGTGTGTGTGTGTGTGTGTGTGTGTGTGTGTGTGTGTGTGTGTAAATAATAATAATAATTAACGGTTTATTGAAAAAGTTCTGCAGCCCGAAGGCTGAAAATATATATTGGACATAAATGACATTACATACATTGGTGGTTTAACAAAAGCCTTCATTAGAGAAAGGTAATGGAACATACAGTGAACATACAGATTAATGTTTACAGTGGAGGTCACGTAGATCATGTGAGCTGAGGTGTTGAATAGCAGACATGTAGTGTAGTAACTCCCTCACAGATGGTGTTATGAGGGGCATCGCGTGGTGTAGTAGTTCCCTCACAGATGGTGTTATGAGGGGCTTGACGTGGTGTAGTAATTCCCTCGCAGATGGTGTTATGAGGGACCTAACATGGTGTAGTAATTCCCTCACAGATGGTGGGTGTGTGTGTGTGTGTGATAATAATGATAATAATAATAATAATAATAATAATAATAATAATAATAACAATAATAAACGGTTTATTAATAGAGTTGCAGCCAGTGGCTGAAAATATACAAAGCTTACATGTGATTTAGACATAATAATATACGTTCAATATAATCACAGGGCTGTACAGTACATAAATCAGGAGTTGTTTATTATTTTAACAATAGATGGGATGGTGCTATTCTTATATCTATCAGTGCGGGCTCTTATGGGCTGCATTTTGTTGTAGTGGCAGACTGCGCGAGGTGGGCGGGGGAGTGTGTGTGTGTGTGTGTGTGTGTGTGTGTGTGTGTGTGTGTGTGTGTGTGTGTGTATTACAGGATTTCGCTCTGTTCTTCACGTTGAAGATTACCATTCAGTGAGCAGCAACAACCGATGGACCTGCATTACACATAATACAGACTGTGGACAGGTGTAGGCTACTGTAGATTTTTAACTGTGCAAGATTTATGTTGACCTTCATCTTTACTTGTCACCTCAGCAAGGTCATAAAAGTCATCCCGTGTATGAAACGGAACACACAGGACTACAGTCATTATCTGAACATAACTTTGGTTTATTTAAATTTTTACAATACTGACACATTTCTTCAGTTTGGAAAATATTCTGCCACTGTGATTACGTTAACCAAGCCTTTAGCCATTTTTGCCAGTTATTTCATGAATACAATTGACCTAATTGTCGTAACTGAAAGGCATTTCCATACATTGATATGTAAATCAACACACAATTTGCATCATTCACTATCGGCAACAATATTTGCATAACAAATTAACTATTATTTCATTAATACATTTAGCTGATTAGACAGGTTTTGGTCACCCTTTATCTACTACAACCATGAAATACCTCATTATCTCATAAAAATAAGCACACAGGTATGGAGTGAACTCATATTGCGCCACAGCTGAATAATAATAAACTACTGGTCACAATATTGCCTTATGGGTCACGCCTCTGAATCATATAATTGCACATTTAACTATCGATAACATCTTTTCTTCATGAAACTGAGTTAATCATCATTTGTGTGTGTGTGTGTGTGTGTGTGTGTGTGTGTGTGTGTGTGTGTGTGTGTGTGTGTGTGTGTGTGTGTGTGTGTGTGTGTGTGTGTGTGTGTGTGTGCGTGTGTGTGAACTTTTTTTTATTATTTGCTAAAGACATTCAGTGACCCCGCCTACATCATGTCCCATTCCCAAGTACAGTTTCTTTAGCATCTCATTAGGGGTGAAGTAATACAGTACTAAATTGGGGTCAGAAGGAATAAAAACAACGTAAAGGGAAGGTGAAAAAGAGTGAAAAAAGGTAACAGCTTGTTCATGTGGTTTTAAGAGTCGTATAAGATACACAGTATATGTGACAAGGATACGCAGTTGTGTCGTGTACGAAAGAGGCCACTGTTAGAGAGAAGTGAAATTAACCTCCTGACCTCCCTGCGGTCCTCCCTCGATAGTATCATTAGGGACAACCGTAACCTGTCTGTCTCTTAGTTTATACGCCACGCAGTAAAATATACAAGTGTAATATTTCTCTCGTCGCTTCTAACATTTGTTCACTCTGACAATAATTAGGTCTCGTAGGGCTATAAGTGTACATACGGCTCTTATGTTAATTTCAACACGGTGTATTGTTCGATATTTGGTTGTGACTAAACCTTACTTAAAGTGATAAAATGCATTCGCCTCCCAACCCAACGGTCTTCGGTTCGAACCCCACGACAGTTAACTGGGTGGTGTGTCCCCAGTCGACCCCACTGCTAAATAGGTGCATGACTGTACAGTTGAGGAAGTGAAAGGCGATGAGTGCAGGTTATTAGCCTATGGGCCCATTCACTTTCGCAGAAGATACTAATTTACATTCAATATGAAAACTTTTTGCATATTTTTCATAGCTAACTGCCAAATAAAATCTACTTTAGACATACCGGAATATATATATATATATATATATATATATATATATATATATATATATATATATATATATATATATATATATATATATATATATATATATATATAATGGCAATATCTAAAGCAAAATGTGCCGGTGAATCTGTCATCACTTTGGCAGTATGACTATAGGTAACAAATGACAATCATCAATATTAATAGGTATAATGAACTTTTAATCACCATGAAACTTCTATATTTACAGTTCTTGTGCCGCGAGCTCTTATATTCCTGTACATAAAAATTAGCTCTTCCTGCAGATTTCCCTACGAGGACTATGCTGACTATGGACCCGAAGACTTTGCCGAAGTTTACAATGGTGAGGCTTATGGTAAGTAGTCTGGGCTATCACAGTCGGAATGAGTTATCACGGGCTTAAGTCACCCACCCTCAGACTACACACCACCAACAGGCAGGGGAATACAGCTGTCTCTCCCCCAGAGTAGCGTGGGTTATGGCGTAATAATGTAAGCCCAAAGGATAAGTTATTCTACGGCCAAGTTATTTTCACAGATTAACTTGTCACTCATCTTCTCTACCCCTGGAACCATTCTTAACGGAAACGAGGGAGATGACACGTCGTTCCTGAGGTGACGAGGGAGTAACCCCTGGTCCCGCCTCTACCTTTAACACCATCATAGGTCATCAGCGGGAGGGCGGAGGGGGGGAGGGGGGATTCTACCTGTGGCTGACAGTTGGATCACTTACACGCACACACACGTTCACCTTAAACATTCATGCTCCAGCGTTGCTAGAACATGTAACACTCAAGCCAGAGATTTGTCCAACCTTGGTGCTCCCTACAGTCAGTCTGGTCTGACTGTGATACTTCAGCCATACTGTCTATCCAATCAAAATCCGAGTTCACATTATCAATGACTGGGGAGGTCTTTTTTTTTTGAGAGATGGACCAATATATAATTTCAAAATTGTTTCAGAGGAACAGCTTGAAATTTATTATCCCATACATTGTACTTGTATCCAAATATTCGCCGACCGCTGAATAACGAAAAAAATGCATTATTGAATTCTGTAAAAAAAAAAGATACAGAATACTGATTAAGAAGCAAAATTTCTCTTATTTAATAGAGGCCGTATAGGAGATTTTCCTTTGGCCTGTGTGTTCCGAATATCCTTACATACTTTATATATATATATATATATATATATATATATATATATATATATATATATATATATATATATATATATATATATATATATATAATCTTGGTCAGTACAATGATACATGTCTTGAGTGAATCATCTTCAGTACATATGGTAAGTGTAAGCTGATATCACAAGTCTATGGTTGGTGTGTTTACCCTGCACCAGCAGTCATCCCCCTACCAGTGATAGGAGCCACGACCAGCAGGCCCCCTCAGCCGGGCCCAGCACTCCCACAGTAAGAAAATAGAAGAAATTGGAATCAGTAGCAACAAGTTGTACTCTTAACATTCTTTTTTTTTAAATTAAGGTTGTATGAAAATGTATAAATCTTACTTTACGAAGATATAAAGTATAACTCCTGTTTTGTTTATATATAAAGAATAAATTCCGTCCAAGTACAGATAATAACATATGTATAATTATCCATAAAATGTTATTAAGGCAAATCTGTGATGCAAGATGTTGCTGCAGATGAAATTAATAATGGTTACAAAAAGTTATGTCCCAAAAACCCAGTGTTTACAATTTTATAAATACCTTTTCTCAAACTGTGCTGAAAACATGATGTTCATAGCTTCAGCGAGAGCCATCCCGGGTATTGGGCCCGTGTGAAATACGATTTAACCATTTGTTATTTTATTCATAATAACGCTGGCAACAAGAAGGTACAGGAGTTAGTCTTACTGGCGCCAAACTTAATGAGACAAAATTGTTAGAGTCACTGGAGTCAAACTTGCTAACAACAATGGTGTTGACGTCAAACTCAGAGGAATCAAACTTGTTGGCGCCAGACTTTCTGCCATCAAGCCTTTTAGATCCAAACTTTTGGTCGGACTCTCTTCTTACAGGCAGTTAAGCCAATTACTAATTGCTAATTGCAGTTCACTGAGTGCCAAAGTTTTGCATTATTATACTCACACGCTTACAAGCCTGTCGCCCCGACAAGGTTTCCCATATAGTAATATCACTGTTGATAGTGCATCTCATCTTAAATATATTTTAATACCGTATTAGCTTTAAATATCACTCTTGCTAACTTCATAGAAATCATTTACCAGCTGGGGTGAGCGAGATGATCACTTTACTGTAAGTTAGCCCAAAAGGCGAGAAAATCTATGTTGAGACTCATATATTTCTGTAGTCTCCCATAACTGTTTTTATCTGTACTATTTCTGAAGGCATTATTATTTATTTTTGCAATATTAAATTTAGACATTGATTTTCAAAGTTTTTGTAATCTCCCCCCCCATCAAAATGTCTCGAATGTAGAGATTATACATGCTTTATATGACCCACACAATATATATATATATATATATATATATATATATATATATATATATATATATATATATATATATATATATATATATATATATATATATATATATATATATATATATATATATATATATATATATATATATATATATATATATATATATATATATATATATATATATATATATATATATATATATATATATGTATATACATATACATATATATATCTGTGTGTGTAAAAAGTAAGAAACTTTTAGTATTTTAATTAAGTTATCAAGAAATAATCCTTATTATATTATTTATACAGATGTTCACTTATCATGTAGATGAAACAACGTACACATCTTCATCAACTCTGCAGTATAATCATGATATTGTATAATAAAAAATGTATATTTCTTATTGGCATATCTTCTTGGTGTTATACGTTACAAGTTATACCTTGGCAGTGTACCAGACATACCCCTATTAAGGATTGTCTCTAGGTTTGGTCCTATAGTTTCCTTTCGTGTTGGTGGACTCATAAACAGGAGATTTATTGCACACAAAGTCTCCAGTCACATTCGTTTACTTATTCCACCTCTAAATCTAAAACTAAATTCAGGGCTGACTACCCTCCATGCAGGACCAATAAGACAACAGACCTAAACCACTGATATCACACTTCTGAGTAACTCTTCAGAGGTGAATTCAATATTATTAAGTTTTAAACCAGGATTGACAGGCACAATTAATTCTAGTTAAATGATATTCGCAAAAGCAACTAACTTATAATTCTTGTGTAATGGAGTAAAAAGAAATAATGAGGCGAGTGTCTTAGAGAAGCTCTTGTGATGAAAGCCTCGCTCGCTACACAACCCTTGAGAGTAACGATTTAGCTGAGTAATTAAATCCAATTAATCACCATTATTACAAAATTATACAATATATACACATCATGTTTTGCGGCTTTTTATCCAAGATACAACAATTTGTTTTGATCAAGAAAACTATTTGAGTTTATATTACAGGAATAAGAAAAAACAAATATCAAAAGCCAACTAATGCTTTCTGAGTAAAAGAAAAAATTGCGAACTCTGAAGAGTGACTCCAGAAGGTGATGGTAGAGAGATGTAACACTCCTTTACGCTTCTTCCTCCTAGTTTGCCTCATATCCACACACTAGCTCTCATGTGTTTTATTAACCACTTGTGTTACCTAAAACTTCATCTTATCTCATTTAATGTGATATACTAAATCAATCAGAGATGATTAAAGAGTATAATCAATCATATATTCTTGTAATTTAAAGATATAACCCAAGTGTTGATGCCGATGTTAAACATATAATAAATAGTTATTTTTTATTTCTAAGAAGAAGTATTTTGTCGTTAATAATTATGAGAGATGCTAATAATAATATTAATAAACATAAAAATAATAATAACAATAATATTTAAAATAATAATATTTATATAATATCCACTTGAGTACAGCATTTTGGGTGGACACAAACCTGCACAAACTTGTTCCTCCTTCTGTGATCTTATTGACAAATTTTTGGTTCGTGTAAAGATAATATCATCACGTACTTGAATGATTGACATAAATATTTTTGTCCTATGTTTCAATTGGGAGAATTTTCTCGTGGTTGGACTCACTGTTAAAAAGACAACAATTGCGCCTTCATATGGGCACTATCAGATTTGCAACATCTTCTATTAATGGTTGACGATGCTGCAAAGTGCTTCGCATAATTTGATAATCTGATGCTGTGTTCTTTGTTGAAACTGAATTTGCAACTTCAGTATTACTAACTGCTGTTGTAATAATAGTAATTCCTTAGTTGTTATACATAGTAACAGCACTTACGGTAGAAGGAAGTGAAGTGCAGTAACAACACATGTTGCTCTTAACGAAAATAAGAGCAAATATAATAAGAAAATTAGCCTGTACTAAGGTGTCTGGGATAACTACCATGGTAGCAAAGCTTTTAAACAGGATTTTGGCTGAAATAATGAGGACTTTCTGTGGATAGAAGCTGTTCCAATACATAGATTTTTTTTCATCTCAGCGTAAAGCCTTAACAGATATATAAACACTTTAAACATATATTTGGGAGAAAAACTTAAATTTGATTACAGATAATACCTTACGTAAACCAAACAGCAGCTGACCAATGTGACCAACTTGCTGGGCTTCCACGAGCAGTGATGTGTGCATGTAGATTGGGTTATGTCATTGGCATCAAGTTCACCTGTGTCGAGGCATTAACCCACTATACATGGGAGGAGGGGCACATCACATTGAACTTATTTTCGCTGAGGCATCAGAAAATTCACAAAATGTACACAAAAGGTAACACGTTAATACATTGGTTGCGTATTATTGCAATAAAACTGATAAAAATCAACACGTTTTTCATCAACTTATGGAATTAATGTATCTGAACAGCTGTTACTCATGCAGTGCCTTTCTTACGTCCAAAGATAGCAGTGATATCATAAGCCCACAGAAATGCTGATTGTAGCAGCAGTTGTGCAATTTGATCATAATGACTAATTTAGATTTTCTAGAAAATGTATTGTTGCTGTCATGTTAATAACACATATCATAGCAAAACTTTTATCAGTTAGAGCGGCAGTAATAATTATTGTGGTCAAAGACCGTAACAAAACAATAATAGACATTTTTTACAAGAATACTCGCGTGAGGTTATCACCAACCAGTCCAACACCTAGTGAAATATTTTTGATACAAGTCAAAAAGATCACAGAAGAGTTAGTTAAGTGTAACACTGCATTTATTAATGAGATAAACCAAGTGTGGGTGGCTGCACTGGGCAGCACAGGTGTGTCCCCACAATGCTCTGCTCTCGTTAACTCAACACTGTGTCCTTCCTCAGACGGGGCGGGGGCCGGGCGCTGGTTGGCCTACAAGCAGACTCTGCCCTCTGCCATGGAACGGGCAAGGTGCAGAACTTCGCCTTATGCCAGGCCTAAATAAGGTCCAATTTTGCCCGTCATGAGTCTGCATAAGGTCCAATTTTGCCCGTCTAGAATCTCCATAACACCGTCGAATAGCGCCCACCGCGTCTAACTGAGCGCCGAATGCACCATCCTCAGTCATAATTTACTTTGACGAAGTTGCACCTGTACTAGTCAACCTACATTAAAGTTACACTATAATACCTTTTTTGAGTTTGCTTATGTATCTCAATAATACTCAATACGCTAGTCCCCTAAACATAACTTAAACCTGTTACTTCTGACATCCTTGGTAATATTTTAATACTATAAGTACAAATATGTAAAAGTTCTTAAAATCGTGCAATGAAAGTTGGTATTGTCGAGTCTAAGTACATATTCCCCTAAATAATTTGTCCCATAATTCTGACCCTCCTCACTGGTAAATGTTAAGACTATCATTCAATAAATGTCCAACCAACAATTGGTAACAGAGAATCTTCTGTGAAGTGTAGACAAATGTTAGTTCGTTAGTTCAACGTCATTTTAAGCTCTGATTATACCATCATGAGATGTTCATAGAATGTAACAATTATTTTGATAAAAAGATATATTGTATAGAATGTGATCAAATCAGCTTAACCGACTATATTGTCAATCCTTATATGGTGTATTAGTATAGATGAAACCCACTCTTGTTAGAGTAGAGGAGCGGTGACTTCCGTTCCGTGCATCCAAGTGTTTCTCTGGATTAGTGTTTCCTGTGCTGACAAGCTGTACGTAGTGTCCACGAGATGTGTGTGTCAGCGAGTGTGGTGAGGCAAGCGGGCAGTGCCGTCACTGGAGTGGTGCAGTGTTTACACAATCAAAAACTCATTCAGTGCTCCCTTCTTTGTAATACAAAAAAGTATATGAGCTTCTCTTTCCTTTTTACTATGAAGCTGTAATGCGAAATATATATATATATATATATATATATATATATATATATATATATATATATATATATATATATATATATATATATATATATATATATATATATATATATAACTAGAGTACAATCTATTACAGAAAAATACGAATCAAACAGCAGCTGCCGAACAACAGTGTGCAGTGTGAAATAGAAACCGTTTTTTGTACCCTGTGTCTAACTCCATAATCAGCTGATTTGATCACATCCAGGCACGTGTTTCTATCTTCCTTTGTCTTAGTGTAGGCTGAGGTGTGCGTCCGGGCGGCCTCCAGGGCCCCCACCACCCACACACACTCCACCTCACCTACTCAACCCATTGTTCTGGGCCACGTATTTCTCCTACTAAAGCCCGAAACACTTTTCCTTTTCTTAATGATTTTGAACTGTGGTTTATAATACGAGATGTTGTGTAAAGTAAGCGTTTGGTTGTATCAATGTTTTGTGTGTGGTGGATCATGCTGGTGGCTGTGGTGGTGGTGGTTTTGGGTGGCCCCGGCCTGGTGCGCTCGGGACGCGTCTCCCAGCGAGTGTTAGGAAAGCAGTCATCAGCAGGTATGTATTTTGTGATGTTATTTGTGAATCAGAAAGAAACTCAGCAATTTCGAACCCTGAAACCTCCTACTGTACGTTTGTTATTTTAGTTGTCCTGCACGGTACTTAATATGGAAATTGTCTAAATTTTGGCAAAAATTGCTCAGCCTTCCTTAAAAAATATATATATTTGTTAAACGCTTTTTTATTAAGAATTATTATTTTAAAATTGAAAAAGACACATTATAAACTAAAACTGTAAAAATTTAAACAATCTTGTCAAATAATCTCATGAAACAAGCTTCCTATTGTAAGAAAACATGTAAAATAATTCAAATTAGGGAACAGTAATGTCATTAGGAAAATATTATTATTATTATAATAAGTTTAATTCCTTAGCTGTAAGAAAAGTGATGAACAGGTCATTAATTGCTCTAAAACCCACATCATGAACCAATTTAGGACAATTGCTGCTCTGTCACAGCTTGTAAACAAATATTTTGAAATCTTAGCTTAAGAGTAAGGTCATGTCATTTCCTCATTACTGGGGAGATTGTGAGCTTAACTGAGATGGGTGAAATGTCTGTCGTTTATTCTAATTAATGAAATACTTAAAACTCATCTGAGTTAAATACTAAAATAAGATAATTATCTACTGATTAATATGTCCATTTATTATAACTCTGCGGATTAATAAACTATGCAGACATGTCTGGCAACATGTCGCAGCCCAACTCAGGCAAGTTCCTTTATAGTCAGTGGCCAGAGCGTCAAACCCTGTTGTTGTTTTAAGTTAAATTCTCAACATATGATGCCAAGAAGGTATTAGTAGCAAATGCTCGGTATTTCAGACGTGCTATGGTGTAAACTTATGGCACTGCACTATGTAACTACTGACCAGGTGCTGTCCAAGACAATTTTGTTGTGGTATATTGTACTGTAAGCTCGTAGAGCTGTAAGGGGCTTTGAAGCTCTGGCATCTTATTGGTGGTTCGGAACTGCTGTAGTTTGTCTAATATGTTGTGCTGTTTGTTTTGCATTTACAAAATTTCATCCATAGCAGTTGCTTCTTTTTGATTATCATCATTCAGCATTATAGTAGGCAACGGCTGTAACTGTGTCTTTGTAATAAATCCAAAATACTGTACGTATCGTTTATCCTTCTTTATCCTTGCTTTCCATCTACTCAACTTCTTAATGTATATCATGTAAGTATCATTTACCGCTTACTATTTTTTTCACATATCTAATCCCTACCCAGAGGGCGAAGGGTTATTGCTATCCTTTTGTATGTTCATATGTATGTATGTGTAAATATAAACAAAGTATCTCAAAACAGGTTTCATGACTTTAAAAAACCTGAAAGGTAGGTTGGTGTTAGGTTAAGTAGGTTGGGTGCTGGTCGACAAAAAATGGATTAGTTCTGGAATCAATAGGTCAAGGGTGAAAATTACAGGTCACCAAAAAGTAAACTGGGTTGATTGATTAGGAAATGTTAGTTATTATACTTCCAGGCTTATCAAAATTGGTGTCGTGTGTTTTTTTTTAACAATTTAATTAATATTTGAACTTGAGATCCTAAAATTTAAATTTTAGTTATTCAAAGTAAAGTTGCTTTTCTTTGCTTCATACACTCAACTTACCAAAAAAAGTTTAATGAACTATCAACTTTAAAATGTTGAATTTCGGTTACGTTCTGACGATGACCCCTGACTCAGAATTGTGAATCTGATCGTTGGTGGTGAATTCTCATATATAAATTTGCTTTTCCGGGTCGACACCTTATCTAACTTAACCTAACCTACTGATCAAGTTTATTAATGATGAGTTCATAAATTAAGGTATCTTTTTTTTCACAAACACGCAAGAGAACTCTGACCTTGAGCTATACCGCCACCTTAGTATTTTCCCCCACCCATAAGATATAGTTCTTCTCTTACCTATCAACTTCATTCTGCCACCCAATAAATTTTCTCCTTTTTCGCTGTGATTATAAAATTTATCAAAGGTCCATAAGAATCACTGACCTTAAGCTCTGACGTATATTCAGAAAATTAAATCGTCTTCCTAGGCTAACATTCACCCAATATTTTTTTTTTTTAATCTGCCTTCCTATTTTTATTGCACAGAGATAATTGCACTTAACCAATGACATATAGTATATAAAAATATATAAAAATAATTTTCTAGTTACCAACGATTTCCCTAATCTAGTTTAACGAAGAGAGAGAGAGAGGTCGTCCATACACATTAAAACTAGTGACTTTAACCTTTGGTCCTCGCGGTTGTTTGTACTTTCCTGATCACATTTTTGGTCTAATTTTTTTTTAATTTCTACACTATAGTGATTTTTTTATAGATTTTGAGTTTTAATATTAATTCACAATTGGTAAACGGCAAAAATAATGACACGCGTAAATAAGACCAATAAAAGCAAGTAGTAAGCCACGTCATACACTTATTTATTGTTGAAACATCTGTCTCATGTTTGACTTCCATCATCACTGAATCCCTCAACCCTAGCACACTGCTCCATGGAACAGGACCAGTGAAAAATAGCATTTAACAGTAAGCCCAAGTATTTACCCTCACCGCCAGACTTAACAGAATCTTTAATGTCCTGTTATACTGTATTTCCAAAGGTTTTCTACTGAATGAGGCAAAAAGGTTTACTATATAAAGTATTTTCCTCTGTGACTTCAATTATATTATCGGTACCTTAACATATCCTTCTAATCTGAGTGCTCTAATTTTCCTGAAATTGTTAGTAATTACTCCCCTGTAAACTCTGAAGTTAGTCAAAATTTATAACTATCTAAGGCGTTTCAGTCATTTGTAAACAGGTATAGTAAGTGCCTTTGGATTTCAGATGTAATATTGGCCTTCCAGTGAGGGCTGGAGGATTTTCGATTAAATTATTTACACAAAATAGTCTTCCGGTGTTTTGTTTTGTTTTTCTTTTTAGGGGGTAAAATAATATCAAGATTATTTTCTGTATGGGAGATAAAAGTTTGCTGCAGCATGATAGAACCTTAAAAAAAAAAAACTTAAATTTATGAGATTTGAAAAAAAAATAGTAAAAAAAAATGATAATAAAATATGGAAAACTGGTAGAAAAAACATCTGAAATAGAAAATGAGTATAATGGCGGAAGACGATGAAGAAAAACTAAGAAACAACATTAACTTTTCAAGTGATCAGTCAAGCAGATGTTAAATGCTGTCTTTAAAAAGTATAACATTGCTTAAACAACTAAAATCTTGAAGCCCGTTCTTCAAGTTAGATCATACATTATTCAACAAGTATTACAAAGTATGGTAGATACGTGTCAAGTAACACCAACTGTAACAGGTGTTATCCACGTAATTACTGAATACACAACAACGGATCTACGTGGCAACAATTAAAGATATGAAGAGAAAACGTGACTCCTACAAATAAAAACACGCACGTAAAAAAGGTAACACCACAAGGATATCAAGATACCAGAATTATTAAACACTGTATCTTAATATAATGTTATGGAACATATGAGTGTAGCCGAGGTAGAGCAAAAGTTCCACAACATGCTTAAGGAAAGCGAAAAGGAATGACTGGTGTTGTAAATACAAGTAAATTACGATACTGTATCATATTACATTTAGTACAAGCTAATAACTTTCAACAAATAAAGTAATTGGTAATCCTAATGAAAACTAAATGAACAAATTTACACACACATAACACAGCAATCAACATGGTAGTCTCAGGACGCACCAACAAACTCCCTATATATATATATATATATATATATATATATATATATATATATATATATATATATATATATATATATATATATATATATATATATATATATATATATATATATGTATATATGTAAGTAAACCACTGTAGGTGCGCGTGATCCAAGTATATGCTGATAACCACAAGGAAACAAGAAAACAAGAAAACACGAAGTTCCCAAACGCTTTCGTGTAATTCACATCTTCAGGGGTAGTGAGTACAGACAAAGGAGTAATACTTGACAAGGCTAATATATACAGTCTGAAGATGTGAATTACACAATAAGAGAACATGAATATAAAATTAAAGCAGTTTAGTTGGAATTGTTAGATATTACTCGTGGCAGCATCATTAACTACTGTTACATATTCTAGTTGACCTTTACTTGCACTGAGATGATATTCAGAATGATACCACACTCAACAAACAACAAGGTACAGCAAAGGTTACGACTGAGTCCTATTTAGTATTTTATCTTTTTTGGTTAACTGGCTACGGGTTAATACAGTTGCTTCTCAGACAGGAGCCTCATGAGTGATATGTCTAGTTATGCTATTGGAATGATGTCCTTACACACCAAACAATTACCCAATTTCATTTTACTCGTAAATAAAACTAAAAATAAAAAATCAGGAGTAAAATTATTAAACACTTATGCTATCATCTGAACACCAAGAATGAAGGACAACCGTTTCACATGGAATTTTGCAACCGCAGTAAACTATCAAAAATTATAAATAATACAATAAAAGAAGAAATAGGAAGACGCATATTGTGACTTAATCTTCGTGGTAATATTAATCCCAAATTGTGTTACAGTGCTGACTGAATTGACACATCAGTAATATAAAAAGGAATTCAGTTGTATTCCTTGTGATACCTGAGCAACTTAGAGTCTCATTATTTACGTTTGCCAATGGCCAGATACCCTTCCTTTGACTTTTTCCAGAAGTTATTCGTGACGAGAGCCTCACACGCGGAGACTATACCAATTATTTGGGTGTTTCGTTGCTTTCCTTGACAGCTACTCGTCAATGTTCTTGAAATGTGAATATTTTGTAAATTCTTCGGTTGCATCTTGCAAGAGAATTTGAGTCAATGCAATAATACATCAATGTGCTCTTGGGCGACATATGCCTGAGTTATCTTCAAAGAGACGCCCCCGGCTTTCAGGATTTATTGCGTTACCAAGACAGAAGCTCATCTTTGTGGTACAACCCCCTACTAAACACACTTCTTTATATATATATATATATATATATATATATATATATATATATATATATATATATATATATATATATATGATAAAATCACACGGAAAAAGGGAAACAACGGAGCACCTTTTCCGTGTATTATCAAGATTTATCTTATCCACGTTTTCATTGTGGATCTACATGAAATATATATATATATATATATATATATATATATATATATATATATATATATATATATATATATATATATATGGCTGGTACACATATAAAGAGAGTGCACCTTTAAGTATTGGTGTGTGTGTGTATCAGCTTTGTCATCAGGTGATGGTGTGGAGGAGGATGAGGAGGGGGTGGGAGGGGGAGGACGAGGGTGACAGGGGTGGTGATGAGTGAGGAGAGGAGTGAGGGGGGAGGAGGAGAGTGTTGAGGATGAGGAGGGTGATAAGAAAGGTGAGGAGGAGGGTAATGAGCGGGGTGGGGAGGGGGAGAAAATGGGGTGACAAGAAAGGTGGGAAAGGGGAGGGGAAGGGGAGGAACAGTAAAAGTAGGGGAAGGAGAATGAGCGGGGTGAAGGAGGGGGAGAGAGGGAAAAGAGACGAGCTGATGTTACCTTGAAGACGAGTGGAAGTTGCTGGGGGCGGAGCGGGAGGTGGAGAGGAGTATGTGGGAGTGGAGGAGGAGTGAGGGAGTGTGTAGGAATGGAGGGAGAGTCGGGGAGTATATGGGAGAGTGGGGAGTATATGAGAGTGGGGTGGGGGAGTATATGGAAAATATCATTACGTTGGAAAAACATAGTTACGTTGAATTGGAAAATCGTCAGCCAATAACACTAAGGAATTCACGTCAGGTCATTGTGAGAACAGACCAATGAAAATCTGTGATGTACACAGGGTGATACAATGAGTCTAGTGTGGCAGCATTATGTTAGTGTTAAGGTGCAGGCACTGCTTGCTTCCTCTCACTTTCAGCTACCAGTACACAGCCTCTTTACCATCAAGACTCCTGCTGTTTATGTGTATGTCTACTGTATACTTGTGTGTATTTAATTAAAGATAAACACACAGACGAAGAGATAGATCAGTTTTTCCTCATCAGATATTGTTCCTTATCAGTCCGTCATCTCCACATTAACCCGTGTGTGACTGTCTTCATACTGTGCTTATTGATATGAATGAAACAAGAATGACACACATCAACGTTTATTGTATAACAGAAATTACCTACGCGATTTTTTTAAAGAATTTTCATTGTACAAAACTATTGCAAGTAGTTGTGCAGTTAAAAAACGGGTTATATAATAGATATTGATAACAGCTCTTGTATGAGACGAACCCTTAATCTGAACGTATAGGACGAGTGCATTCATTATCAAAATATTAATGCTCACTCCGTCATTTTTCTTGATACAATTAAAAGTACCAAATGGTTTCTTCTCATTATTGATGTTAAATTAATCCTTGTCATCCAGCAGCTGAGATACACAAGAAATGCTGAGGTGATATTGATGTTCTAATATATTTCTGTATATGTATTAAACGAGTAATCTAAGTTAGTAAATACACTAGTCACCACCAATTAAGCACACTGTGGTGTTACTCAGCTGGTCGTGTTCTTCACGAGTGCTTCATAAAAAAATGCTATGAGATAAAAATTCATTATACAATAGTTATCTCGTAATTTACATTTTCTACATATTTTGTAAGAGAAACAAAAATAAACATGTAAATTGTTAAAAAATAAATTATAAGAAAACAATATAGACTACAATTAAATGTATTTTCTTCCCTTTTCTTTGGACAAAAAAGCCTTACACGACGTACACATTCTAAGACAGAGGTGCAAAGAAAACAACATTTCATAAATAAGACATTAAAGTTCCATATTAGTCTTGATGGCTGTTGGTACAATCTGAGGTCATTATCAAGCACATATTGATACATACATGTGAGTTTTAATATACAGTAGCACTAATACTAATTAATAATAAATTTACAAATTCAACTATTGCTTTCATATTCTTAACTCGGATAGTCAACAAGACATTAACATAATGACACCCATCTTTGTTATTATTCATTTTTAGTTATAGATTCCCTCGAAAAATTGCACTAATTGCCTTTATCTTCCGGACACTACAATAAAAAATACATGTTATCATGGCTCTGTAATATTACTATATATTCTAACTAAATTATAATGAAAATCGCGAACAAAGGTTTTGAATGTGGTATAATAATATGACGAGCAAATGCTCCCAAACCAAGTATCATGGCAGAAACACAACTCCAGCTCTTATTGTCGTGCCTGGATCTTCGTGGCAATAAAGATTCCTAACCCTTTACCTGAACAAGAAAAGTTCATCTGTTTCACGACTGTCCTGATTCAACTTAACTTCCAGGGGATAAGCTCACCATAAAAGAACACCTCTGGCCCAAGCTTTTATAACAGTCCTGCAACTCCTGCCTTGAAAGCTAACAAGATTCAGCATCTCTTTTGCTGTTCGCTAAAAAGGAAAAGGTCATTCTGCCTCACGGCATTTTTCTGGTCCTACTACCGTCGGAGGCACCTTATGACATAAAGGAATAACCCTCACCCACATTTCTAAACCAGCACTAGTCGCCATCCGCCATGCTTGCTAACAATACTTAACACCCATTTTGTCCTTAAACCAAGCGAGCTGTCATCCACACAAGATCTCTACATTTTCCGCCTAAAAGCAGTTGTCGGAAGCAACACGCGTCTCACCAGTGGTGGGCTTCCTGTGTTACCCACCACTTACAGTACATCATACGCCATGAGACCGAAACACAAAGAAGTTTAAGGGAACAGTAATCGGTTTCACCAGAGCTTGGCCACTTAATTATCACCTCATCTAACTTATAATTAAATATTAACTATCGAAATATGGTATAAAATAATCCTTATCTCCAAGACACAAAGGTTAATTACCGTATTAGTTTCCTTTACGAGCTGCAGCCGTACTGACCGTAAACAGTCTTGGTGAAGCGCCCCACTTTAGTTATACTAGTTATTAGGTAAAATGTTATTAAGAATTTATACATTATCTTTCAGACTTATGACCGCCATTGGTCATGAATATTCATTTTTTTATATAAATGACCAAAGCTTCATAACAAAAGACTATGCAAACTTGAAATTAAAAACCGTACTGTATATAACCGTAACTTTCATTTTAATACAGAACAAATTATCGGTGGAATGTGGTAAGTGGTGCACCAGACAGATGTACTTTTCTATTTCCTGATGTACAATCGGCGTCGACGTAACACATACAGTGTAACTGCAAAAAACTAAGAGCGAAGACTTTTTGTTAAACTTACATAAACTGATGTATATTTAAGGACCTGATGTTGATATGTATTCCAGGGAGCTCATATGTTTCTTAAAGATGGTCTTAATAGGTTGGCTATTTATTTTGCCCGTTACTGTAACATGACACCATGGAAAACGGTAACAAACAAAAAATATTAATATCTGAATTTCATCTGTTGTGGGAGGTAAAATTCTACTACGAGAATATATTTGAGTCAATTACTCATTCATAATTAAAAAAATTGTACTGCAAGCTTTTTCGTAATAATGACCAGAAAGAAATCCGTCTCAGTTCAAGGTAAGTAAAAGAGGAAAACGTCAACTGGCTACCATTTCGAATATCGTATTTGACGTCACAGAAGAGATGATGTCAGTTTTCGATACATTACTTCTTTCTCACTGATAACATTTACAGAACGAGTGCATATATATTTTTTATTTGTTTGAGGATGAACTCGTTTTCTGGGACACAAATATGTTTTTTAGGTGTACCAGGAGAGTTGTCCACTGGTTCAGAGTATCGTTTCTACTCTCGTAAATATAAATGGCAGCAACAGCTGGCATGCTCTAGAAAACCGCCAAGTTTTATTCCGCTATAGAAAATGTAAAGGTCTCAACTCTCGAAAGGCATTCGGACACCTAGATAAAAATGCCAAAAGGAACAAACTAGTCGATACATACAATAGCTTCGCTTGAGATTGATGTATAAATAACTAGACACAAATAGATCTGAGGTATCAGCTTACCAACTTTCACTATTTATTTACCCCATATGACCAAATTAGTTCATAACATCTGAAGTACCAAATATCTTGTAATGCGAGTAAGGTGCTTGCATTGACATTCAAGATTGTACTACAGCAATATTTCAAAGAATAACAGCATCCTGCTCTTCACCGTAGCGATACCGTCAACTTCACATGGTTATGTGATTATGATATCTGGGGATATATATTTAGAGGCGTATACACATTTATATAGTTTGTCAAAAAAAAAAGGAAATCACTCATGCAAGAGATTAAAGGAAAATTTCATGTCACAAACGAAGGTGTGTAGTTCATCACAAGGTCGTCCTATCAGCTCGTACTCTAAAGATTCCTTTTGCTGTAAGAGCATGCACTTCATCCTTGCCTTCCTCGCCCCCTTACTGGTTCCCGCTCCTTGAGCCTCTGAAGACCCAGCTTCTTGGCCTTCACCTTCGTCTCCCGGTACTGCCCTCTCATCGCTGGTATCTCCGGGCGGCGCAGTAGGACCCTCTAAAGAAATATCTGTTAGATTTATATTACCAGAGATAGAACGTTCTTCCAAATTGGAGTATTCTGGAAGGTTCTGGTCATTCAAGGCTTCGGGTGAGGGTGCTGAGTTTTCCGCCTGCTCTGGGAGAAGAATAACGTCTACTACAGGCAAAGAAAGGCGAATTCTGTCCATCAGTAAATCTTTTGCAGCGTCACGTCCAGTCGACTTACTTAAAGCGTTTTCGCGAGGGTTCAAGACCCTGCGAGGGAGGGTGATTCTTCCGTTGTCCCCAGAAAAGTTTTCATTAAACATCGCAACTTGCTCCAGAATCCTTCGTAAGCTCCCTGTAGCCCCTGCTATCTCTCCCAAGTCGTTGTCGTCAACATCGCTGTGACCTTCATCCAGGAGCATAGGGTGAATGTGTTCTGACATCACTGCAGGTTTAAGTCCAGATGGAAAATCGTCTTCGTTATTGTCCTGGGGTTCGCAAGGGGGTTCTGATTCAACGACTATGTCCTGAGCAGACTCGGAGTTGCCGATATTCTGTGGGAGGTTTTGGAGGCTCTGGTTGGGTGGGAGGAGAGACACTGCATCGCTGACATCGACGGCAGCTGTGTCGGCATCGTCTAAGTCATAGGAAGCTCCAAGCCATAAAGAAGGTCCGCGAACTGGAAAGACAGATAAGGTAGGATTATTCATGCCATTTATATGAAAATAACGATATGGTTGTATAAACGGCAGGAAGAGAAGACAATTGTGGTAAAATAGTATCTGAAGTCAGTAGTCGGTTCAAAAGTAGTAATACAAGTCGAATTTGTAACAGAAGCTTTAAAGTTAACAGCGATAATGTAAATTGTAACAACAGTGGTAACAACAGACGTAGTTGTCGGTGTAACATTAGTGATTTGACAATAATAGCTCTCTCGTTACTGTAGAAAAGTTATTCTGAATTTCACCTGTCTATCTGCAGGTCTGTGCAGCTGAGCGCCCCACTATGATGTACAGTTGCCTCCATTTATAACGGGTACAGTGGCTGGCATGTCTTATGAGATGTGGCACCACTGTTTGCTTACATCTTATTACACCTAGTAGTAGTAGTAGTAGTAGTAGTAGTAGTAGTAGTAGTAGTAGTAGTGTGTGTGTGTGTGTGTGTGTGTGTGTGTGTGTGTGTGTGTGTGTGACTATATTTGTAGTACGTTAAATTACAAATTGTCTATATATGATGGCATCACAGTCTTTATCCCAGGTGATACAAATGTAATCCCGAAAATAATATCTGCTCTAGATATTATGTCTGCTATACGGCGGGAAGTTATGATGACACAATAATTCATCAGTAGTCGATTGTGGGCGACCGCAGAAAGGGATTTTAGACTGCTCAAATATTTCGTAAAACACATTTGCGTTTGGCAGATACTTTTTAATGTATTTGAATTGTAATTTGCGGCACGAAATGGTAGTGGTATGACTTTGTGTAGGGACGAGTTGATTTTAGTACGAGTAAACATGTTATTGGTCCCATAAGCCTGAAGGACCGTTAGTTTAAGTGAATGCATCACACTAGATACTAATCCATGGTACTCAAGGAATCAGTGTAAATCTAGTTACCCATTCGCAGCTCTGTATAGTAAGGGCGTCCTAGGTATGAACCAATGAATTTTAGGACTGGAGGAGAGCTCTGCATCCACTCGCCCACCGCACCCCTACAAGTATCTAGCAACGGTTTTTATATCTTTTCGAACTTCATTAATTATCTCGCTGGCATCAGAGTAAAACTTATTTTGTGGGCAATATTACAGATTTTCTCATTAGGTACAGATTTTCAGATTTCTCAGAATATTGAGGGCAACATTACAGGTACTCGAAAGGTCACACAATTTTACCGAAACGAACAGTATTTTTTTTTCATCACATGTGTCACAATTGTATTATGCTTTGTATGTATTTAAGTGTCAAATGTGTTGCCGTAAATTATGTCACAATTCCATGTTAATATTTTCAGGTAATTACTCTAATAAATAAATGTTCGTTCCCATCACTGGCAGATTGGCAGATTTTACTTACTCATCACTTTTCTTTAATCGGCTTTCATGTTTCGTTTCTAATTCGCAGTAAATTCCTCTCATTAATATTATGTTGGTTTCTCTTTCTCTTATCGTTACGCCTATCGGGAAAACAACTCATAACGCGAAAGGAACAACACTAGATTTTCGTCCTGCTATTTACGTTTCACACCACAACATTATCATCATCATTATTATATTATTACAAGATACATTTCGCTCTAGATGTTCCTTAATACTGAGCCAAGTTGTGCGTTATGGGTATAATTCTCCTCAAGTTATACTCCACATATCAGATCTTCTCATCCCGAAATTATAGAGCATGTTTGTTATTGCAAATATCAAGAGTGCTCGTGGCTACGTATCCCGAGTTACGTTTATTGAAGACCTTTCCAAAACTCAATAACATAATATCACGTGAGTTTATATCGTGCACAACAAACCTCTTTTGAACAATGTAAATGGAATAAGATTTACTCCCACGTATATCTAGTTTAATAATATACTTTCTGAGTAAATTTATACATTAAATAAGAAGGTGAAGTTATATGAGATCATGTAGCACTCTAATGGATTTCACAGGTTGGCTATTAACACAAGATATATCAATTAGCATTACTATCAGTCTTCTGTCAGTCACCGCTTCTTCTGTCAGTCACCGCTTCTGTCAGTCACCGCTGGCTCCTACAAGATGGACTCTAACGGATGATGTAAAATTTATGTCTGGGTTCATTAACATTGTTTGCCAAGAGTATAATGTTGACTTTGTGAATCTGTTGCCTCCGGAATATACACATCACCGAGAAGATTGGCAATGGATTTCTTTTTCACCCGACTGTGTGTGTGTGTGTGTGTGTGTGTGTGTGTATGTAGGTAAGAAGCAGGCGTCTGAATGTAGGTATAGGTGATGGAGGGTCTTAAGGTAGGTAGTTAAGTGTTAAGTGTTAAGTTAAGTGTAGGTATTAAGGGGACGAGTGTATATATGTTAGAGTGAGAGAGACAAGTGTGTGAAGATATGTGTGAGTGGCGACGAGTGTGTTAGTGTAAGTGTGAAGGGAATGAGTGTATAAGTATGATATGTTAGGACCAGGTGTAATGATGTTAGTGTGAGAGGGTCAATTGTGTGAGTGTAAGCGTGAAAGGGGTGTGAGAAGGACGAGTATGTGGGTGTAAACGTGAGAGAGAGGGTGTGGGGGTGTAGGTGGAACTGGGACGTGTACGTGTATGGAACCTTGTCAAAATGAGAAGAATATTAGTTCATGACCACTAGGAGGTATCTGTATACTGCCTTCCCTGTGTCTTAAGAACTGCATGACACACTGTATGGGGAGGGGGGGTCCCAGAAAAATGTCTCTGCCTCCTTCCTTCCCTCCCTCCCTGCCTGCTTCCTGAGACACTAACAGTTGGAGTGGGGGAGGGAAGGAGAGAGGGAGGGAGGGGGAGGGGAGGGGAGGGAGGGAAGGAGGGAAGAAGGGAGCAGGAAGGAAGGGAGGGAGGGAGGGAGGGAGGCAGGGACAGTTTTCTGGGACACCCTATATATATATAGTGGAGAAGACATGTGCTAGGGGAGAGTTATTGTGACGTGAAGTTAGTTGTAATGCCCGAGGAAGTTTGTAGGAGTAAGCCAGTCTGAGGGAAGTTATATGTGTTACGGTACGTGCATTTATACTCGTGTGTGTGTCAGGTGAAGTTGTAACTAATTTACCTTAGTGACTGTAAGTACGTTTGCGCGTGAGATTGTGCTTTCATCTTGTCTAACTGAGTCTGGGTGTATAACTAGAGATTGACACTAATTGGCTCAGTGTTTCAGGCAGATATAAATTAAAACTTTTTCTCTCACTCTTATCATCCTCTATCAGGCAACATCATTCATCTTCCCTCGTCACCTTTATTCATCTGCCTCATTTCGTCCCCACCCTCCCATATTCCTCCTAATCTCCTCTAAGTCACCACATGTCCATTCTCACCCCACCATCTTCTCTATTCCCCCTTCCTCCCTAACCCCTGGCAAGACTCACTGAAAGCCTGGTGAAGGAAGGTCTTGAGAGGAACGAGGTCCTGGGGAGCTGCCAGGTCACCCCCGAGCTCCTGACAGTGGCGGTGTGCAGCAGTCCAGTTGAGCTGAGATCCTAGGGAGAAGTAGAGGCACTGCTCACCAACCCGCTCAGCTACCAGGCCGAGACCCACCTCCGGACACGACGGTGCTGCAAGTACAGGCAGGAGACTTAGGTACAACTGGTTAGGATATATATTAAATAAAGAAACTTTTTATTTGATTGGGAAAGACATGTAAGATAACAACGAAAAAATTATGTTAAGATGTATCGTCTCGCATAACTCCTCATGTCAACATAAAATTGTGCAGGTGATTTACTGAAAAGCAATATTTACTATATATTCTAAAAACATCCATCTGCTTTAAAACAGATCTTTATGTAAATGCTTCTCTAAACACCACGATTTTGCTTCTTTCCCGGTAATCTAAAATGTATTCGCCACCCACCCCTCCCCCTCCCTCTCAATACATGTCCTTCAAGGTGTCTACGTTTTATCTGCTTAATCCCCCTCTGTTCTATTATTAATGCATCCCTCAGACAAAGCAAATGCCCTAATGAATGGAAAACCGCATTTGTCACCCCTATCCCCAAGGTCCCCACCCCACAGTCCCCTAACGACCTCAGGCCAATTGCCATTACCCCCATACCCAGTCTACGCTGTGAAGACTTTGTTTTTGAGTGGGCATTTGCTCGTATTTATCAGTCAATTGATCCACAGCAATTTGGAAATATGAGGACCTCCTCTACATCACACTGCTTAGTTAGTTTCCTGGATTTCCTGCACAAAAACCTGCGGAAACGTAAGACATCACTGGCCGTTTCCCTTGTTGACTTCAGAAAGGCTTTTGACCTTGTTGATCACTGTACTGTTATCAACAAGGCCATTGCACTAGCGCTGCCCACCAACCTGGGTAAACGCAAGCTGCACTCACTATTTTATCGACAAATTCTTTGATATAATTTTGTCTTTCTTTCTGGTAAATCGAAATAAAGCTGACAACGTAAGCCGTCAGTTTCATGCCGAGTTTGAAATAAAACTTTATCTACGTTGAGGAGTTCACAAACAAACAAATATTTAATGCATTTTCTCCCTCAATCCCTTTCATAAATGTATTAGGAATATTAAACACAGATTATGACGAGATTTCATACACACAGCATTTGGATCATTTGTATTTCATCTTAAAGTCATAATGGTTTTCACTAAGAAAATACAAATATAGTAAGATATAGACGTACAGTTCACCCACAAAAGTCCTGTCGTCACTCCTGCTAAACCATGAACCCCGAGATTCAGTCTCGTGAACCTGAAGCAGTAGATCATGATGTATTGTTCTGTCCATAAATGTTTCGGATTCATTAGTTTGAATCTCGGGGTTCATGGAGAGGCGACATGACTTTTGTGGGTGACTGTACCCTCCACATTGGCAAACAAAGGGATTCATCATACGCTTCAGGTGTGTGGGAGAAAGCATGAATACAACGTGAGGGGAAAACGCACCGGATGTTCGACAGATGTTGATTGGGTAACAAAAATATTCTTCAAACCTGGAAAATATTTTTGTTGATATTTTAACATGTTGAATATGGATACACAGCGACCCACATATATCTTATGATATTTGTAAGAGAATATTCTTAATTTCTCTCGCCATAACCTATTTTTTTAACCACCCCAGACCACACTTACCCTAAGCACTGTGTGATAGTCTATGGTCAGTCACGCTTTCTCTAACTCTGTATTTTTCTTACATTAAAAATGTTTTTCGCCATTATTTTTCTTTTATTGTTTCACTTGGTTGCCAGTTATCTTTCTTTTCATTCCAGACTTGACTGTGTCTTTCTGGTCTTTCCCGCTTCCTCTCTTACACTCGAATGCTTGTGAATACTAAATACAGGGACCACAATCTTTTTTTCTTCAGGACCAGCATGAGGCAACGACTTCTTGTACAGTACATAATGGCCAAGACCACGAGGAGAAAGTGTCAGCAGCTGTCTCCTGAGGCATTGAAGGCTTTAATACTTGAAGGTGTGGAGGTGGTCAGGTGACATGTTCAATTAAGGTGTGGAGGTGGTCAGGTTACATGTTCAATTTAGGTGTGGAGGTGGTCAGGTGACATGTTCAATTAAGGTGTGGAGGTGATCAGGTGACATGTTCAATTAAGGTGTTGAGGTGGTCAGGATGTGACATGTTCAGTTAAGGTGTGGAGGTGGTCAGGTTACATGTTCAGTTAAGGTGTGGAGGTGGTCAGGTGACATGTTCAGTTAAGGTGTTGAGAATCTACGCGTTGTTACCATTCAGATTCTACTGGAAAGAGAAAAGAGGAATGGAAATCACTTCACCATCATAAGATATATTTTCACTTGTGATTGAATTACACATAAAATACAACAGGGGAGACAGTAGAGTACTCACACATTCTCTTGAAAATTTATAGAGAAGGATGACACATTCAATCACGAACATTACACGCATTCAAAAGACAGATTAAAAAAAAATGTTCAGTTTCTTGAGAGCTGTAAACTGAGAGGCGATGTAAATAAGGTACCCAAACAATCAAATCACGACAAAACCCATCAAAAGGGTTTTAATTACAGAGATAAGTGGGATAATTTACCCCAATACTTATCCCCTTATCGCAAATTCCCAGAGAAGTTTAAAATACTGGCTGAGTGGAACGAGAAACTACTTCGTGTGAGGCCATATTATTCATTTGTTTCTCACTACCATTAAAATATATCTGAAGTCTGTTTACAGTCAACACGAACATCTTGCATCATTCAGACGCATCAACCTATCACATCAACCTCCCATGTTAACTGTCCACACTAATCCCCCATAGCTAATTTACTGCTCAAATTTTCCGTACACACACACACACACACACACACACACACACACACACGTAATTCCGACTGTGTTTTACCGAACGCTCTGATTAGTTATCGTCCCCGTAGACAAACTGACTACGTGACCATGACGTTTTCTTTGTTAAATGTGATACATATATAGGATATCAGTAACAATTCATTTCCTTTTTACAATTATTATGCTTATATACAGTATGAAATATTTCACAATAGATTCTTTAAACAACTTTAAAATCAGGCGGAGCAGTACAGTATTATACTGAATAAAAGACATTTAAGAGTTCAAGAAGTAGAAAATGGAGTAATACCACGGGTGTATATCATAGAAAATGCACTGTTGATATGAATAACTATTATAATATATATAATTTTAAAATGTCTGATAATAATAGCAAATAAAGAACTAACAGTAAAGGACTCACCGAAAGTCGATGTATTACGGCGTGTAGATGCTTTTGATAAAGTCTCTGCAGTGAAAGTCATAAGAAAGGCACTGAACTCGAGGCAGATCCAGCGGGGAACCCCCCTTATTTATCAGAAGACTCCAATATTTTCCTTATTGTAGTATTGTACTCAGGCATTTTTGTTTCGTCAAAGTTAATTACTATTGACCTCAGAATATTCCCTAATATCAAGTGCACATGGCTTCAAATGACCTCAAAATGTCCATGATATTGGTCAGATTTCAAAAATATTTCTGGAGGGGGAGGGGGGTGCTTACAGCAACCCCTCTCCACCTCCCCAACCCCCCCAACCAGAAGGATGGGCTCGCTTTGCTGGTCAGTTTCCCCCACCCAAAACTTCTTGGACCCTCCCTCTTTTGATATTCCTGGATCAGCCCCTGGAACTCAAACAATGGAACAGGACGAAATGACTGTCTTTGTGTTCCTAGTAGACGTGTCATCCTCTCGTGACAACTCACCATAAAGCAGTATTGCTGAACTCTCAATTATATAATGAAGAAAATCAAATAAAATACCTTCATAATTATTCTATATCACTTTTATTTTGCATTTGACCCCCCCCCCCTCCCTCCAAAAAAAAAACCTAATTAACAGTTTCGGTATTTTTCGGACGAGCCACTGGAGCAGGTACAGTGGTGTCACGGTTTACCGACTAGGTCATCGAATTTCATTTTTTTACCGTCTAGCAGACAAATTTCCGTCGAACGGCATCACTGAATCACACACACCTCTCATTCGCACTAAGCCGATATATCAATCTTCTAAACCAGACCACATACAACAACCCTGCCCACACTAACCTCACTCAATCAACAGCAAACCACCACAACCTTCCATTGACGGTAACATCCTTGATACCACAATACCACTACGTCACACCGCTACCCCCTCTCTACCTTTGTGTTGTTTGGCTCATTAGTGGGTTAAGCACCGGTAAAGTGACGTGTTGAGCTCCTCAAGTGACGCCATTAACGAGAGCTTACAATGGCTTTGTCTGACGGTGTACTGGCTTCACAGGGCGCTGCAGCTATGAGGTCCACCTCACTACTTGTATAGGTGGGTGTGGATGTGGTGGATAAGTGACCACCTCTAGCAGTGGACAGGTGGGTGTGGATGTGGTGGATAAGTGACCACCTCTAGCAGTGGACAGGTGGGTGTAGATGTGATGGATAAGTGACCACCTCTAGTAGTGGACAGGTGGGTGTGGATATGGTGGATAAGTGACCACCTCTAGCAGTGGACAGGTGGGTGTGGATGTGGTGGATAAGTGACCACCTCTAGCAATGGACAGGTGGGTGTGGATGTGGTGGATAAGTGACCACCTCTAGCAGTGGACAGGTGGGTGTGGATGTGGTGGATAAGTGACCACCTCTAGCAGTGGACAGGTGGGTGTAGATGTGATGGATAAGTGACCACCTCTAGTAGTGGACAGGTGGGTGTGGATATGGTGGATAAGTGACCACCTCTAGCAGTGGACAGGTGGGTGTGGATGTGGTGGATAAGTGACCACCTCTAGCAATGGACAGGTGGGTGTGGATGTGGTGGATAAGTGACCACCTCTAGCAGTGGACAGGTGGGTGTGGATGTGGTGGATAAGTGACCACCTCTAGCAGTGGACAGATGGGTGTGGATGTGGTGGATGAGTAAGCAGGTAGGTGGATTTTATTAATGACTATATTCGTGTATATGAGAGAAAAAGAAAAGATATAGAAGAGGAGAAAAATAGAGTGAAGATAAATATATGGATAGACAGAGAAAGAGAAAACGATAGAAAGCAACAGGGGAAAAGAGAGGAAGATTCAGGAAGAGTTACACACAAAACTCGTCATCGATCTGTCCACCAAGTGAGACAAAACGGCAGGCTTTAAGTGTACAAATGACAACAAATACATTAAAAACAAACAGAAAAACATGAACAGCATAAACAATTAAACCATTAACCATATTGGAAAAAAAATAAAGTTGTAGTGGAATTTAAAGGACAGAAAAAGTTGTGGAGAGAGGAACAGGAAAGAGCCATAAAGTGAGAGTGGAAAGCGGGAGAGAGGGAGTTGTTTTGACACAGACGGTCAGCCAAACGTGAACTCATAAACGCTTTATGTCAGCACACTCAGGCGGTGTGTTTGTGCTTGGATTGTTCGAAACAAGCACAGCGGGTTTTTTGTTAGTGTTGTTGCTGTTTTTGTAGCCGTAGAAATCATAATTCCATAATTGTAGAAAAAGCAGTAGTGATAATAACGATAGAAGTTGGAGGACTGATAGTAGTAGTAGTAGTAGTAGTAGTAGTAGTAGTAGAACCGACCCTCCTTCTATTGGACGGTGAGAATTTCCAACATAGGACTTCAAATACATCCAACGAAGCCCGTGTTGACGTCAGTGCTCGAGGATTCTGGACGTGGGGACAGCGAGCCTTCTTCAACATCAGGATTTTTTATCCCATGGCCGAATGTCACCGTAACTTAGCTCTCGATGCTGCACACAAGAGGAACGAGAACGACAAGATAAGGGCATACGGAGAGAGAATTCAGAACGTTGATCAAGGCAGCTTCACTCCTCTAGTGTTCACAACCTCTGGTGGGATGGGACCAAGTGCAAGATGCTTCTATGCCAGACTCGCTATCTGAACAGAAGCAGCAGCCCAGACGTTATGTCACAGCCTGGATGAGATGTCGACTGTCCTTCTCTCTCCTTAGGTCTGCTTTGCTCTGCTTCAGGGGAACGAGAGCATCAGCCCCAAGGCCGACAACAGTTGCAGATATTGACTACGAAGCAACAGTCATTGAATGCCGCATAGATCTGCGGCTCAACTAACTCAACACAGCTAGGATAGCTACTTATATATTAGGATATTTAATTTTAAGGTAATAAAATGGCGGCGAAGGTGTGGCTATTGGGGGAGGATGGAGGCCATGCGTAGTAATAGTAGTGGTAGTAGTAGTAGTAGTAGTAGTAGTAGTAGTAGTGGTAGTAGTAGTAGTAGCAATGTTACTAATAATAATGGCAGGAATAGTAGAAGAAGCCCTAGAGGTAGTAGCAGCAGTGTAGGGAGGTATCGGTAAACTAGAAGTAGTGGTGGTAGTGGTAGTAGCAGGAGAGGCGGTAGTAGTAGTAATGTGTGTTCAAATACCAACACTTCTAACTACAAACACAGCCACACTAAACTCAATATGTTATTAATACTACCAATAATCTTCAAATCTACATAAAAAATATTTATATTGTAACCAAAACGCCAAAGCAAAATATCATTCCTACCGAGATGTTTTCCTCGCCCCCCCACAATTAACGGAACCGTCTCCGAGAGCCTTCAACCTTCACAGAGGTGAACGCATCCTTCCGTCCCCAGGAGGACAGACACACGAGCTATCAACCTCCTCTTAAATACGTCAGGACAGTCAAGATCTCTCAGATTTTATCTTTTGTCTGGTGAATTTCAGAAGGACTGTTAGAGACTATTCCTCATGGAAAGCGTAAAATGAACCTGATTACTATTACTGTTATTTTTACTATTCTATATCATAGTACATCGAATCACACATACACACTATATATATATATATATATATATATATATATATATATATATATATATATATATATATATATATATATATATATATATATATATATGCAAGTAAATCCCTGTAGGTGCGCGTGATCCAAGTATATGCATTAACGGTTTACTCGCCAAGCTTCCTCTTACATTACCCTGACTTTTATTTAGTGTTAATGTCGGCTTAATTCTGACTTACATTAATGAAGAGAGCTGTACTGTATATTTCAACATTAAATTAACTCCGCGTTTCACAACAAATTCTGATTTTAATATAACAATGACCTTTATGGATTTAGTTGATTTAATAGTAAATTCATGCGGTTTCACTTTTACGTTAACCCGTTATCTCCTCTAGTGACGTTATGTAGAATCTAGTGACAAAAGGATTTTTTCTCCGTAACTGATTATTATCGATAAACAAACTTTTGCCGAACTACACTTTTTCAGTAAGAAAGATGGACGAGAGGCTCTACCTTTTTTCTCTTTGAGAATTACCTTTTGGTGAATTCTAAACTCAAAAACCTTGTCGTCGTCTTGCAGTACATAATGTTAGTATGATACTGCCGCCGACTGACCACTTTGGGATTTTTTAGGTCCATCTTCCCAAATTTCATAATGAATTTACCCCAAACTTGTCTGCAGATTTATAATAAATAAAAGTCTTATATACGTTGACATCTTACTTATTGTTTCTGGGTGATGATAATCTCTGACAGCAGATTTGTTGATAAGTTTTCAGAATTTGCCGGGATTTTTGCTGTCTTGACGAATTTTTTTCAAACTTTTCAACCTGACAAGCTTACAGCAGCGGAGAGTTCTTGTAACTTTCGCAAGTTTACATAAAAAGGATCTCTGGCCTAATTTTCTCACTCCCCAGAAAGGATGTTTATTAAAGATGCCTGATAAAGCATTAATGTAGAATTGTTAATTTTCTCTCTTGTATCGCCTCCTACACAGCTTTAGTTCACATTGTGGACTTATAAGAGGTCACAGGTCGTACTTATACCATGTCTTAACTCCTCTGTCTTTAACTATGTACTGTATTACAGGTCATGGCACCACACGCGCACATGAAGGATTAAGCTGCAACTTTTCACCGCTCATATTTTTGTCTTAGACCCCCGTGTTCCAGGTCACTGCACTAAATGCATTATACCTCGCGAGCATTATTGACATATATAAAAGGCAAAATATATATTATTTATTTTCGTTCTTTTTATTAATGAAGTTTTCTGCAATGTATTTTTATTTATTAGTTTACCTGTACCGATTTTAAATTTCCTTTAATATTCAGCTATGTATGATGAACACAGATAAAACGATATAGATGCAAGGTTATTGGCTTTACTTTTGACCTTTGACCTGATGTTTTACGCAACACGTCCATATAAAAGATAACAAGCTACAATTCTGCCTGACCTTAGGTTTGACTTTGACCTTAAGTTCACATTACTGAATTCCCTGTGCGAGGCTAAATGTCTCCTTGACTCCTGACTTCTGGATCAAAGAAAAGCTGTTTCATAAAGTATGCATTTTCTTTCCTCTTTCCAACTGACTGATTTACTGCAGAAGGAAATCATACATGTGCCTTGGCCTCGGCCTTGGCTCTCTTATCCGAAGGTGCTGTTGTCTCCTGCCATTAGTTTAAGATCAAAGTCACGGGTTCAATAGCCAAGGTCCTCACCTCACCTCCTGGCTAGTTGAAGAGGACCTGTACGACTTGCTCAGTTTACCCGGGACTTAGATGTGTTGACTGAGCTGATTGCATGTGGGGGTCAGAGGATACGTCCCTACCTAGAGTTTAAGATTATATCTTAAACTTCTCAAACTTCTAAAACGATAGTAATTGTGATAGCATGAACCAACCTGGATGAAAAATGGAATCCTTTCTCTTTAAACTATTTAGAGATTTTAAAAATAAAAAATAAAAATAAATAATTGATTCAATGTTGTTAGTTCTACATAAGCAGATGAATACACTTAGAGACTCTGAACAAAAACACAGTTCTGTACACCCCTTCCCCCGTTCCTGCTTCGTACAGTACACACCGCCGCTAGTGACTCCCAAATATCACCAATGTCTTCATAATTATCACCTTATAAAGGATTTTTGTTTTCGTGTATTCCTTAAACAAGATGAAGATAAATACAATTCTGTATCAAAACAAGATATGGAGTCTTCTGCACCCTCGTCAATCTTGGGACAGTACAAGGTGAGATGACTGGACAAACACTGGACAGACTCAGAAATAAACCCCAAAGAATAATTCTAATGAAATGAAATTCACAAGAAAAATGCGGGACCATAACTTTTATGTAAAAGTTTAGTCATATAAGTTTGATTTCACATAAAAACAAGAAAAAATATGATGCTAATGTTTCTGACATTTTGGTTCTTTTCTAATATTCAAAGTAAGAATGATATACTCGTATTTCTCGCTGTTGTCATTAAACCAATAGATGTTTTCGTGTCAGTATCAGCCAGCCTGTGAACTCTCTGAGGAGCAATGAATAAACCATACTGCTTAAAGCATTACATTATCATTCTTGAAGAGCTCATACCATCAACCTCAAAAGTTTAAACCATGATTCCTAAGGGCTTAAATCATCTTTATTAAAGAGTTAAATCATCATCCTGAAAGGAAGGATTAAGAATATATCCTCAGAATTTTTACTTATCTTTGCCGCCGATGTGTCTGTCAGATATTTCTAGTCAAGGTTATCCTAGTTTAAGCACTTGTAAAGTTAAAGAACCTATTCACATTCTGTCAATCCCATTGGTTAGTTTTAATTAACTTAAAACATAGAACATAAACTCTCACCTCTACTTAAGAGCATGTTGCTGCCGTCACTCAGAGTCTGAAAATCCTTCCTTCTAGCCCCGTATTTCTTGAGACGGATAACCTCGGAAGCCAACGTGGAGAGTTTGGCCTCATAGTCGTGCACCAACTTCTCAATCTTGGCCTCAAACTCTGCCAGAGCCTTCTTCATCTCCGGGATAGTGTTGATCTCTTCCTCCAGGGCGGGGATCTTGGCCCTCAGTTGTAGCAGCTCCGACTCCAGTCTCATCTCTGTTTCAGTCTTCTTGCTGAGCGTCTCCTCCAACAGTGCCACACGTTCATACAGCGCCGTGTGTCTCTCTTGTGTCTCTAAGACCTACGGACAAAGGGTGAACGTAGAGACTTGGGATAAGAGGAAGGTGAGTTTTAGATTACCAGAGTGAGAGATATAGAAGAGGTTTACGTGTGATTTACCTACATGCCACTATATGCTCCTCGTCTGGTATGAACTAATTGTGTAGATATAATGACTTAAGTTTGAGTATATATACAATTGAATACAAAATTCCCAGTTCACTTTTGACAACACTTGGCAGATAAGAGGAACTGTGATTATAATAAACATTTAAACAGTTATCTTATTTGCATTATGAGGGGGCGTAGGGTTATGTCGTTGTTCTTCCACAATATAAAATATAAAAAAATATATCGTTCACTTGCTATAAACGCATCACATACATGGCCCACAATATGCCAAGTGACGGGGATTTTAGAAGCAAGTGTAGATGAGGAGGCTGATGTACACTAATTCATAATACGAGTTTGTTATGAAATACATTAATAATTGGTGTTTTTTATCAGTAGTGTATACGTTTTTTCTTCCGGTATCATAGTTAGTTACGCAGGCTGAAATAATGTACATGACTGTGTGTGTGTGTGTGTGTGTGTGTGTGTGTGTGTGTGTGTGTGTGTATGTTTTGTTTGTATATCATTTTATGTCTGTGTCTGTCTACATGTCCGTGAATAGGATTGAGAGGAATTATTGTGCGTGTGCGTGTGTGTGTGTTGAGATATTACAACTTTACAAGCTTTTCCTTTTTATGATTAGTTACTTACCTGGGGAGAGATGTGTAATGCCTGGGGGCTAGATCTAACCTAACCTAACCTACCCCCGCTGTCATGAGGTGAGACAGATTGAAAAAAATAATAAAACTATAATATGAAAAGGTAAAATAAAAGGAAAACCTGGATTGAGAAAACATGCGTTGAAGGAAAAGGATAATGAAGGAAGGTGAATATGAAGGAAGAAAACACAGGAACCAGAAGGAGGTAATCAGATCATATTGAAAGTGAGATAAAATTGAATAGACAGATAATGAGAAAGATTATGACATAAATAATACAATGAAGAAAGTTGATAATGACGGTACACGTTGACCAAAAATAAAACTGGGGAAAAAAAAGATGGATAGATTAGATATAGGAAATAATGTAGTAGATAAAGAGTAAAAATGATTAATATAAGACAAGATCGAAACATTAATCAAATAAGATGTATACTGCTGAAGGAAGACATGAATGAAAGAAGACTTGGCTGAAGGAAGACACAAATAATATAAGACGTGATAGAAAACATGGCTAAAGGAAGACACTAATGAAAGAAGACATGGCTGAAGGAAGAAAGAAGGCGAAGGACATGTTTTGGCTGAAAGACTTGAGCTTGGCGAAGGAAGACACTAATGAAAAGACTTGGCTGACTTGGCATGAAGGAAGGGACATGGCTACTTGAAAGAAGATATGGAAGAAGGAAGACACTAATGAAAGAAGACTTGGCTGAAGGAAGACATTAATGAAAGATATGGCTGAAGGGAAGACACTAATGAAAGAAGACTTGGCTGAAGGAAGACAATGAACGCGGCTGAAGACTTGGCTGGAAGGAATAATGAATGAAGTTGGCTATTGAAGGAAGATTGAAAGAATTAATGAAAGAAGACTTGGCTGAAGGAAGACACTAATGAAGGAGATGGCTGAAGGAAGATTAATGACAAAAGAAGATGAAGAAGACTGGCTGAAGGAAATGAATGAAGGACATGGCTGAAGGAAGACATTAATGAAAGAAGCCTCGGCTGAAGGAAGACCTAATGAAAGAAGACTTGGCTGAAGGAAGACATTAATGAAAGAGAAGACATGGCTGAAGGAAGACATCAATGAAAGAAGATGAGGGAAGGCATTAACACGAAAGAAGAAGACTTGGCTGAAGGAAGACATGAATGAAGGACATGGCTGAAGAAGACATTAATGAAAGAAGACTTCTGGCCGAAGCTGAAGACACTAATGAAAGAAGACTTGGCTGAAGGAAGACACTAATGAAAGAAGACATGGATGAAGGACACATTGAAGGAAGACACAGATTTGAAAAGAAGAGAGAAATAATCAAGAAAAAAGCACTTCTTCTTCCTCTTCTTACCTGTTAGCTACCTCTCCTTTCCTCCTCCCATCCTTCCTTCCTCCTCATCCTGTCATTCCAATCTCCTCCATCTTCCCAGCCAACTCCCTCCTCACTTCTTCACAGTTACCTCCTCACCTCCCCATCTTCCCCAGCCACCCTCCCACGTTCCCCCAACCATCTCCCCACCTCCCAGTACTTGGCTGACATAGTGAACAAATATAAACGCATAAAACGGTAGGGACTCGATTTATCCCTCTCAGTTAAGTCTCTCTCCCAAACCCTGACAGGTAATTTCTATACCTAAAAATTAGAGTTTGGTTAATTTAGCCGCAAACATCGAGGGGCCTGAAGCTGTGGGAGGGGGAGCTGGAGAGAAGAGAGAGAGAGAGAGAGAGAGAAGAGAGAGAGAGAGAGAGAGAGAGAGAGAGAGAGAGAGAGAGACGTCAATATTAATCATAGTTCTACAGAATCTGAAGTCCGGCCTCAAGAAATTGGATGAATAACATTATAAATCGAACCTGAAGAAGTAGAGTTGAAGTTGACCGGTATTGCTAGACGTATGTAATTTATTCATCTACTTTTCCTGGGATTATTTCGAACACACACACACACACACACACACACACACACACACACACACACACTCACACACCGTCTAATATACCCTCATGCAGTCCCCACTCCTCACCCACTGACGCCTCACATTAATTCAAATTCCCACTGCCAGCACCTACTGTATAGCTATGCGTTCCGTCCCTTACTCCTACCACAACTTCCCAACCACTTTCCCACTTTGTACTCCCCGTATTCCTACTATCACCCCTAACGCCTCTCACTTCCACCCTCAGCCTCTACTAGTCCAACCCTCACCACTACCACCATCTCTACCACTACACCACCATCTCTACCACTACACCACCACCACCACCACCCAGTCTCCTCTTCTCCGACAGAAGTAATCTTGAGGTGAAAGGATCAAATATAGACGAGGAAATTACGCCTCTCACACACACACCGAAAGACGACCTGAGGAACAGGATGGTAATTATGCTTCTGTTAGTGACGTGTCCTTCTTTCTCTCTCTTTATCCTTCATTTGGTTTATTTTTATGCTTCAGTTTACATATTTATCCGTTTGTTTAGTTGTATTTATTTGTTTATGTGCTGACTGAATGTTTATGCAGGAGGAATATTGACTTAATCATCTTTGACTGTCATAAGGCAATACATGGAGGAAGGCCTCGATATTCTCCTTCTTATCACTATATTAAATACAATGTGATTCTCATGATATATATTTGATAACGAAAATCTCCTCACCATAATTTCCTTTTTTTATGCAGTTATTTCAGCCAAGTTACTTATGATGATAATGAACACAGATAAGTACATCTTATAGTTGCCAAGATGACTGAGGAGAGGTAGATGCATATTATTCGTGCATTGCGCAGTTAAGCTTTCTTCACGTGTCCAACACGAAATCGTAGAAAACGGCTAAATTTGTGAAAAATTAACCTAATTCCAGGACCAGTTCATATAACGTAATCTAAACCGGTGAGGTTAACTGTATCTTATAGCCTCGTGAGTCATGACAAGCAAGTCACTGCCTCTGCTCACTGAACTATAACTAATTTTAGCAGAAAGGAGCCACTGAGTATTGCAAAACGATAGTCCTTTTCTACTAACAATCAGTCATAGTCCAAAGTTGTTCTAACACATCAGAGCACACATAGCGCGCACAGGTACGGGTTTATTTGCCATAAACCTAAAATAATTGCATTCTCCCCCAGAGAGGTAACCCACTAGGTATTCACTGTGGCCTTAGTGTGGCGCCAATACTCTATACCTTTATTATCATAGTGTATTTATTAAAACTTGTGATGAGGAAGAAAAAAAAAGTAGTTTCCACGAAATGTTTTGTTAGGATATTTGAAATACGTATCGAAATTCGGGGTAAAATTTGTTTTAATATCAGATTATGAGTCCAATGCTCTTCATCTATTCCTTAATACATGTTCGCGTCTTCTCATATATCTTAGTTATTTTTCTTGGCTGTACACGTAATGCAAGCCTTCGTAAGCCGTTGTTCCCAAGTTCATTTCGCCGAAACTCCTTTATCACACTGCCTGCTTCTCTCTTTCCCTGGATGAATTCCTTCCTCGCCCAGCGGTCGCATGATGGACGCTCCGGGTCATAGTTTGACCACTTTCCCTTTAATTCTTGACTGCCCCATGTGTCTGTCTTTACTCCTACCCTGTCCTCTCTCTTTCTCGCTCGTACTTATCACTGACATCTTGTAAATATAAGAGTTTCTGCACAAACTCACACAAACAATTTCTCGTATCTCGCCATGGATCTATCTGATGTACAGTATATCCCCACAAGGTGTCTCAATTTTATTTTTACTTTCAGTTATAATCTCACAGACAAATTCAACTGCGATACACAAACAATGTCAGATTTAATGTTTCCAAAATTTAACAGATTAAAACGAAACTACTGTAGGGGTATATTGTGGTAGAAAATGGGAGTATGAAGATTTTGACAGACTGCTAAATGTAATTGGTGAAAATGAGGATGAATCATACTGATTGAATTAAGAGACAAAAAGTTGTAGTTAAGAGGAGAAAATGGAAAGAAAGATTGTAAGGAAGCTTAAGAACGGCCAAGCGACAATTGTGGCTAGAACCACCATAGAAATGTTTAGGGGAGCTGTGACAAGACTGAAAGTGAATATATAACAGTATAACACAGTTAAATACATTTTTGTACAGGGATTAGCCCACCCAGGCACAGGCCACCTACCCACGTCGGGGCCTGGGGGGCGAAAATTTTGTAATCAAAATTAAATACAGAAACGGATTTTTTTTTTTTTACAAATCAAGAGTGAGAAAGGTTATACATATTTTGGTGTCAAAGAAAGAGATCCTGCAATTGTGTGTAAATGAGGCAGAAAGTCAGATCACCAACCTGGCACTTGGTCACAATTTCTGTGATGCCATATGGCAGCAGGGTCTACCATTAGACAACACATAAATATGCTTCCAATATCTTCCCAGGTGGTAGTACCCCCCTGTTTGGTAGCTGCCTAGTACCTACTGCATTTGGGGAGGTGTAAGAAAGGGTCATTATCGAGTGAACTGTGAGAGGGTGTGTGTTACGGAAAGGCCAGTGTGGTTTCAGACAAGGAAGACGGTTGTGTGGGGTCAATATTTAGAGAAAATGAAGATTAGACATGGGGAAACTACATGAGACAAACTTGAAAGCAAAAAACATATTGGAAGTATTGAAACTGTGTCGGAAAAATGTAACATTGTTCAAAGCTGCCGAAAATTATACAGAGAATGTGAGGTTTGTATGCAAAACCGTGTCGAGATGAGGAATTATCCCCCAAAACAGTAGGATTAAATTAAGGGTTTGTAATATCGCTATTGTTGGATGAGGTAATAAAAGAGGTGAAGGTATAAGCGATGGACAGGTATGAGTGACAGGGATGCCTAGAGCAAGTGGGAGATGACTCAGCTGCTGTTTGTAGATGACTCTCCTCTGGTTAATCACGTTAATGGTTCGAAAGAAAATATGTAAACATTAGGGAATTGATATGGAGGAACGTGTAGCAGAAAAATCAATAATACTGAAAGTGGACAAAATAAAATTGATTACATAATGTACATAATGGAGATGGGCATCCAGGAAGCTGAAATGTGCTTCTTGTAAGAGTGTTGTGTAGAAATGTTAATAAGAACGGACTGGCTTGAGACAAATGACGCTGGGTTGTGTGAGTAAGCCGTCTTGAGGGAACACCGGAGCGGCACTCAGTGACACGAATTAATGAGAATAAATGACGCGAATAATAATACTTCTGGCTGCCCTTGATTCAGGCTGCTTCTGCAGCATATATATACGATCCCTGTTCACACTCAGAGGTTCAGGGTTCGATTCCCGACTAGTGAGGTATTGCTTGTTTATGGAAGACTGCGTGCTGTATGGGCTGATGATTATATATATATATATATATATATATATATATATATATATATATATATATATATATATATATATATATATATATATATATATCATGTAAATAATCATAATGTAATTTCTTGATTAACATAATCACTAACCAAGCTAACCTAATCTATCCTAACCTTACTTAATTTAGGTCTGATATAGCTGTTATAATAGATAAATAAAAAATATTCCCTTGTTATAACACACACACACACACACACACGTGTTGACCTCTTTAGGTATAATGATAATCACCATCATACCCTAAGGCCACATATCTGCCACATAGCCCGCCAGCATCGTGTTTACAATTAATTACAGATGGTTGGTGGAGCAACACAAGTTGGTGTTGCAGGACGTAGCATCACGGCTTGCTGGGTAATGGTATGTGTGTGTGTATATATATATATATATATATATATATATATATATATATATATATATATATATATATATATATATATATATATATATATATATATATATATATATATATATATATATATATATATATATATATATATATATATATATATATATATATATATATATATATATATATATATATATATATATATATATATATATATATATATATATATATATATATATATATATATACCTTCTACCCGAGTTTACCCTCATTATAACAATGACTCTCTATAAATTGATAAACATATCATTCTTTTAACCAGTAAGATTATCTTACGTTAATACAAGTTATATTTATTTATTGGATTTGAGGATAGATCATTAAAGACCAAGATCGTCAAAGAAATATATAAAATAGGGTTGACCAAAATTTTTTAGGTAGGGTCGGGTTAACTTTAATTCCGCTTTACTGGGATCCAACAACGAATGTCTTTAAGCGCGTATTTAAGATTTGGAAATACACGTCATCAACAAATAGCAATTAAAAGGGTACCAGGTGCTATTCCCAGTAACAGATGCTATATCCCCAGTACCAGGTGCTATCCCTACTAACAACTGCTATATCCCCTTTACCAGGTGCTATCCCCCAGTAACAGCTGCTATCCCCCAGTAACAGCTGCTATCCCCAGTACCAGCTGTTACAGTGTATCCCCAGTAACAGCTGCTATCCCCAGTACCAGCTGTTACAGTGTATCCCCAGTACCAGCTTCTATCCCCAGTACCAGTTTCTATCCCCAGTACCAGCTTCTTTTCCCAGTATCAGCTGCTATCCCCAGTACCAGCTGTTACAGTGTATCCCCAGTACCAGCTTCTATCCCCAGTACCAGTTTCTATCCTCAGTACCAGCTTCTATTCCCAGCACCAGCTTATCCTCAGTACCAGCTACAGTGTATCCCCAGTACCAGCTTCTATTCCCAGTATCAGCTGCTATATCCCCAGTACCAGCTTCTATCCCCAGTACCAGTTTTTCATCCCAGTACCAGCTTTATTCCCAGTATCAGCTGCTATATCCCCAGTACCAGCCTTATCCTGCTAGTACCCGTAGTTTCTATCCCCAGTACCAGTTTCTTTATCCTCTTAACAATTGTTGTTCCCTCGAACTGTATATTACCCTGGACTAATCTGCTGTCAGGGTTCGTCGGAGACTCACCTGTTCATGTGGTCGTCATGGGTGGTGTGGTAGACTCACGTGCACCATGTGGTCGTCATGGGTGTGTGGAAGACTCACCTGCACCATGTGTCGCCTATGGTGGTGTGGTGACTCCCCTGCACCATATGGTCGTCATGGTGGTGTGGTAGACTCCACCTGCACCATGTGGTCGTCATGGTGTGTGGTAGACTCACCTGCACCCTGTGGTCGTCATGGGTGGTGTGGTAGACTCACCTGCACCTATGTGGTCGTCAGGTGGTGTGGTAGACTCACCTGCACCATGTGGTCGTCAGTGGTGGTGTGTGGTAGACTCACTCTGCAACATGTGGTCGTCAAGTGGGTGGTGTGGCAGACTCACCTGCACCATGTGGTCGTCATGGGTGGTGTGGTAGACTCCCCTGCACCATGTGGTCGTCATGGGTGGTGTGGTAGACTCACCTGCACCATGTGGTCGTCATGGGTGGTGTGGTAGACTCACCTGCACCATGTGGTCGTCATGGGTGGTGTGGTAGACTCACCTGCACCATACGGTTGAGGACGTTTACCACGCTGGTGCCTGGTGACTCTTCGGACCGGGAAATGAAGGAAGTTGTGGGCGTTGCGGTGGAGAGACACGCCGATGCCCATATCCACGCCCACATCCTGACGCTGGACATATGCCTTGGTGACACTCTCCGTACATACATTGTGCTGCCAAAACACTTGACGTATTTTTATCTGGATTTCAAGTACTTGTTATTTTCCTCTTCGGTGAATTCAATGTTGACGTTATTAATATTTTCACTGCACTTCGATAAATAAGGTTAGTAATTCCACTATTCCACCAACGATTAAAGATTATGGAAGATAGAAGCTTCTGAATATTTTATTGACATAACCAGGTATAATCATTAATGCAACATCTGCCTGACTCTTGTAATGGACACAGAATGTATTAATAAATTTCCTTCCAAACAATGAACGCTTTTTATCGCGACAGTTTATAATTTTTTTTTTTCGTATTAGTATGTATATTTTTCGGGTGGGGGGGGGTTAGGTTAGGTTAGGGGGGGTTCCTTTTACAATTAAATGTCCACAATCACGATTACACAATTTTTACACAATTTGCCGCAGTAATCGCACTGCTATTTCAACACTGCGGAGTTTTAATGTTCATTTTTAACTTTATTCACTGGTGAACCAATTCACACCTAAAATACGTGATTATTATAGTTTATATATTCAATGTCCCTTGATATTTCAGTTCCAGTAAGAGGCTGTACATTTTCTGACCTCTGGTAAATGTGTAAGTGTGTAGCATCTGTTCTTACGTCTGCTGACCACGTTCCTTCGCCATTAAGCCTCAATACGATCCTTTCTATTCATAATCTAGGTGAAATAAAGTGATATTTACATGTTTTCTCTTTAGTTTTTGTCTTTTCTTAGTTATTTTCCTTCTCTACCTGAAACTCTTGAAATGATACGTTCACATCGTCACCAATATTCTGGGTTTATCTTCAGGGTTAATTCTCTCTGTGTGTTTCTCTTGCACAGACACTCGAATGTGTTTACAATGTTTCACAAGTAGTTTAAGATTACTGTACTGTTTTTAATTTCAGGTCACAGTCCTTTTTCAGTGGATGTTTCCTTTTACAAAACAGTCAATTCCTGAATAAAAAAGTAGGTTACATTTACCTGAGTTTACAAATGTCTCGGCTGTATTATTTATGTCATGGATAATGATGAATTATTAGGGATAACACTGGCACGGTAACAGGAGTCACCTGGGTCGAGCTGGAATAAATGACCACTAGATACGAGTAATGTTATGTGCGGTTGACGACATTAGGTATGTAATGAGGAAACAGTCCACGTCATTGGCTTAAATTTAGATTTCAGAACAAGAATTTCCATCCAAACTCCCTCTCTCCCTCCCCCATCATTATTTTATATCATACGATAATTTTCCAACTCGTAAAATCAAATATGTGTTATTATAACAAATACTAAATGTAATTATTCCTGAGATACAGCAAAATTATTCCACACATTTTGATATTTGGTAATAGAATAAATAATCCGATTACTATGTCCTAACTGCTTGTGGATGATTACAAAATGAAATAAATGTTATTACAAATATAGAAATGATTAAGTAAACCATATATGAGTTTGGGAATGAAATACGCTCCACAGACCAGACAGCCCATTAAGGGGCGGTGTAGATACAGTACACTGAGGACTAAACGTTCGGTACAGAGGGAGACAACGTGGTGGCCCAACACTCTACCGCCTTTAACATAGCCAACTGCAGAATTAGGTACTGTTTTTAATTCTCCAGCTGGATCGACTGTGGTTACCCCGCTCAGTGACCAGTGGGTTAGTACTGCAGATGAATGCTATATCCGGTCGGCCACCGCTCCCTTAGGCGACGACAAAATAAATAATTTTTCATCTGTTGGCGTAGGTTCAACGGTTATACAATACCGCTACCATGGTGACCAGTGGAGCGTTAGATTCTGTTTATACCCTCCTGCTTTAATACGGGGAGCGGGCGATGCTAACGAGATGTATATTAATGAGGGTAAACAACAACAAAACAGTATCGAGTATTCACATATTCATACACCTGTCATGCAACTATCCCCTGTTTAAAATGTTTGGTAACTGTACAAAAACACACGAATTGAAACAACAGTGCAGGGCATAAAGGATGACTGTGGCGTGACACCTGTGAATCTACCTTGTGCCACACCTGCGACCATAGTGTCAGGTGTCAGTTGCTTGTCTTCTCTCTGTCAACTATAAGTCTATCACCGATAAGGCTTTCTCACTTCCCGCTGCATGTTGTTATTATTTTGTTTTAATACTTTCCTGTGCCAAAGTTCTATTTTTTTTTAACTGGAAAAAAACCCCGCCAAATAAGCTGTGACCGATGTTTGACCAACTGTATTATTTCTTGGTGAGGTAACATTGGTTTCGGTCACTGTAATATGTCATTAGGCCAGCCTTAAATTTAAGACTGAATTCCGCTTTTAATTGAAGACTTGTGCCTGACACACGCGAAGTTCAGTAAGTTTCATCCTTGGGATGGCCTTTTCCTCCCTTTTCGTTAATTGGAATAATAAATGAGAAGAGAAACAAAGACAAACAGACAGAGAAAAAATCAAGAGAGGTATGTGGGTCCAGAGATACCAACATGAATGTAGTCAACTACAAGGTTACCTGAGCGCACTTAATTATATTTCAACTTATACAGAAGAAAAGTGACAAGTATACAGAACAGGAACACCACTAATAGTGGGGTTGGGGATATTTCTTCCCTAAAAGTAATTGTAATTTACAGACTCGGTGTCGGGACTGTTTCCATAATATAAGTTCACGGCAGTGAGCCCACTGTACCCGCATGCTTATGAACACACACCGGAATATTTTAACTGAACTGACTGACTTTTTCAGGAATGAGACACTGAGTGTGGCAACGGTGTGTGTTTTCATTTTTTTAAGTTTAACTTCCATTCATTAATGATATGAAAGTTTACGCTAATAACAACAAAGCCTCAACGACAGCCACGCCGTTATAAAATTATGCACAAAATGGAGGCAGAGTTGTTAGATTAAACGGGACAGGTCCCTCAGGTGCCCCAGGTGTATGAAAGTACAAGTGGGATCATTTCAGATTTAAACGCATAATTAATTTTCATCCACTTGTGAATTTCCATCGTGTTTTCTTCCCTTCACCCTCTCTCCTCCTCCTCCTCAACTGTATAATCGCACCTAGAATAAAGAGAGAGAGAGAGTGAAAGTCGTCCTTCACCTTCGCTAGCCTACACCTCCCTCCCTCCCCTCCACCTATTCATTCGGGAGACTGTGGCCACTAATGACCCCTGTCGTACGTGGCGCGGCGTTAAGAGGGTCTTGCATCGCCTAACCCACGCTTGAGCACCGCCGGGTTTATCTTATCTTACATTCAAACCCGGTCGAGTGTTCTGGCGCCACGGCCCTGTCCCCTGACGCGGCTCATGTTGGTGTTGTTGCCTCTGTAGGTCCCTAGACTTCTGTTGCTTTAGTTACTGTAGCTTCTGCTGTTATTGCTGTTCTAGTTACTGTAGCTTTTGTAGTTAGTTACTTTCTGTTGTCATTATTGCTTTAGTTACTGCAGATTCTACTGTTATTATTATTTGCACACCTACTGTGTCATCTCATTGCTGCTGCTGTGGACGCTAGTGATGTTATCCTTTCTGCTGCAGTGTCTGTAATTCCCGTCACTATACGCCAGTTATGATGCCACGCACCTGTTAAAGCTCCACCGCTTATTCTACTTCATTTTCTGTTCGTATCGCTTCTGACGTCACTGAGGTGTGGGAAGGTACGGGGTAGCAGGTGTAGATGGGGCAGGTGTGGATGGGGCAGGTGTGGATGGGGAGACGGGACGATAGACGCGGGTAAAGTATGTGTTGGGTGACAGGTATAGGGGAGGCAGGTGTTGGGGAGACAGGTGTGATAAGGTAGACATAGGTAAAACAGGTGTGGGGGAGGCAGGTGTTGGGGAGACAGGTGTGATAAGAAAGGCGTGCGGGTGACTGATATGGGGAGATATGTTTGAGAAGCAGTTGTGGTTTCACAGGTCTGGTGGAAGCATGTGTGGGGATACATGTGTGGCGAGGTAGGAGTGGAGAGGCAGCTGTGAGGGATGTAGGGAGAGATGTATGAGGCAGATGTGTAGAACGTAGATATAGGACAGGTGTGGGAATGTCAGGTGTGAGGAAGGCAGGTGTAGGAAAAGACAGGGTGTGGTAAGCAGCAACAAGGTCTTACGATGATTCTAAGTGTAATGGTTCCGGAGGTAGCGTGATTTCATCTGAGAGTGACGGCTGATAACATATATATATATATATATATATATATATATATATATATATATATATATATATATATATATATATATATATATATATATATATATATATATATATATATATATGAGAGGATATAAAGAGTAACAATGGTGAAGCGAACAACGGACTCCATGTTTTTATCTAGTGGAGTCACAGAGAACAATACGTGTCATAGAAGAGAAACTGACATCCACTCTGGGGGTTTACCTGTAAACAATGTAAGCCCTTAAGATTACCCCCCTGCCTGTCCGTGCCACGACTACAACCAGACCACCTCTCTGAGCGGTACAGTACCAAGCTACACCATTACGTCCTGAGCCTTCCACCTCTCCACACACACACGAACACCTACAAAAATAACCATATAAATCCCTGTCAGAAATAGTATGTCCCCCCTGTTGTTCCATTTGATCAATACATACAAATATTAAGAGTTTATTGACTAACCTAACTGGGGGTTATGTTGTGTGAAAATGATTAAGTGTTCTTTACAAGCAGTACAGTACAGAGTAATGGTGCGTGGCGGCCTAGAGGGAGACAAAAGATTAACCAACACCTAGCGGGAGAGGTCCAGTAAGGTTAGGGTAGGTTGGCACTGGTTAGTTTTGGTTAGATCAAGTTAGTTTATTATGGAGCTAATCATTAATAATGTGTTTGTGGGAAGGAGGTAGCACCCCGGTACATGGATAAGACAACATCATGAAAGAGATATAAATTTCACTGTAAATATACAGGGTATACGCAGGGGGGGGGGCAGAGTAAAAAGAACCTGACCTGAAGTTCTGGGTGGTAGGGATTAAATACCAGAAAATCGGTTCCAAACAGCTGACGACAAAGCCCCTCAATCACTCACTGTGCCTCCTCAGTGATAGTTGAAGGCAACACGGAACTAGGTGGCTACAATGTTTGTAGATTGCTGAATATGAACGGAAAGTTATCAAGATTTTAAAACGTGAAAAGAAAATAATTTCATAAGAAAATACATTTGTTTATCTTGGCGGAGTTGATAAAGTTGCCAAAACAACGGGAAATACATGGCCGAAAGGATACTGTATTCATGGACACTGTAACTGGTTATGGAGGTGATAAGAAAATATAGAAAAATTGTCAGAACAGTTTGGCAACCTTCCAAGTTCTCTCATACAACAATACAGTCAGTGGTGAGAGATGTGCTGGGAAGAGACGCGAGCAGAGACCGGCTTCAGGAGTCGTTGTTCATCCACTGTCTGTAACTGACCTGAATGAGCGTGGACCAAAGAATTTTGTTGATATACAAGCCATGGAAGATGGCAGTTACCGTTTAATAGTTTACTAAATTCTATACCAACTGTCCACTGAACTCAAAGACAGCAGCTAAGGTGACACGGTTCCACATGCCTTACAATATGACAATGGTAAAGCATTTACTGCACAAGTAAATGATGAGTTGTCATTGCTGCGGCCAAAACACACTTTGCGTAGATCCACAACATCTACAGCAGAAGTTGTTCCTGATTTAGTAACAGAGCCAACACCTGCACAGCAGATTTCAGATGATGGGGAGGAGAATCTTCATCTGCCAAACAAGCATGACAGGACCCACGAGAGAGGGCTCATGCAGTTGTAGTCTTCGCTTGATCGTAGCAAAGGGATCCGTCTTACTTAATTGGAATTTTACATTCTAAGGAAGAAAGAGGTTATAAGATAAGCAGAAAAACGTGGAATAATTAAGGCAATCTTGCTAGAAACAAAGGGGCATTTGTGCTTTTCAGTGGTGTTAGATCAAAAGAT